TCAGTTGAGTAATTTAGGCTCGAAAGCGTAACAAACAGACAGACAGAGCTACTTTCGCATTTATAATATTAGCCATAGAATAGAACTAAGAAAAAAGCTCAAAATTATCCTAAATAATATTATCATCGTTTGCTATACTATACATATATATGTAAAATCCTTTTAATATATATATGTTAAAGATAATAAAACCCCCTTTAATGTTATAATAATGTTACAAAGCCTTTCATGTTCAATTATTTAATAAATATGATCAAAAGTATGATGTATGGAAGATGGAATGGATTCTGTAACGAAAGAACGACGAGCGCTTTGATCTAAAAATACATTTATATATATGTATGTATGTTTGTGTATTACGAGAATCATATTAAATATATTACTATGAAACTTTAGTTATATGTAGTTTAGATAATATAGTAATATGTATTGAAATTTAATGTAAATACATTGCAATGTAGTTGTATAGATTGTGAAAATATTATAATCTTTATATATAAAAGAAAGTTAGTTAGTTACGCTATTTATAACTCAAGAACGGCTGTATGAATTTTGATGAAAATTTGTAAGAAGGTGGATTGGAATCAGGAGACGGATATAGGATACTTTTGAATTCATCCTACCAAAAAAAGGGTAATAAAATCTAAAATTTTATATACTGCCTCTAAACCGAAACAGTTCGCAAAAGTCGCATGCAGAAGCTAGTGTAATAATTACTTTAATTCTAAAAACTCACTTAATATACTTATATAGAATAAGAAGATAAAGTCACGTGAAAAAATTAGTTTAATAATAATTTAAAACGTATTATATTACATAAACAGCTCGAGCGTCAAAAAATAAGATTATAAAACGAATGACGAAAATAAAGACGCGAAGTGTTTATATAGAAGAGAGGTGAAAATGGAGGAAACGGATTGTTATATACAGACAGACATACCTTATAGATGATATATATATTCTTCTTCTACCTGGCAATTACCCAGCTTTAGCCAGGGCCTTACATGTTGTGAATAGTTTTGGCTAATTGTTTTTACGGTCGCCGTAGACGTCAACCCTCTTTGGGAATGCATTAATCATAATGTCTAAATACTCTTAGAAAGTACATATGACTCGGAAAAATCACATTGGTACTTGCCAGGGCCAGATCGAACCCGCGCCCTCAGACACGAGAGGCAGGCCTTTTAACCACTAGGCCACTAGGCACTTTAGTATATACATATATATGTATATAATATATTATATGATAGTCCACCTCCATACTAAGTCCCACGTCACAATATTTCACAAGCAAATATAATAAAAGCCTCTGTAGGTATTTTATCTCTCGAGTCGTATGTCGTAGTCAGAATATATTTTAAGGAGAATCGTATATGTACTGGATAGTTAGTTTTTTTTAAAAACGTCCAGTTAGTTTAGTTTATATGTATAAAGTATTAACTAATTAATGGATTTTCGTATGTTATTATAAATCTTTCTTTATAATTTACTTCCAAAATATTAGTTAAAATTTGATTTATAAAGAAACAAAATTTTGTGCGTAAATATTTAATAATTGTATTTGAGTGTTTTCGTTTGTCTTTCATTTAATAATAAATATAATATATGATAAGACGTTCTTATTATATGAAAATTACACGTAAATGAAAAGATTTTTTTATGCCAAGGGGAGAAAAGTAGTATCCTTTTTCCCATCTTGTATCTTCTGATAGTAATACTAACTATTTGTGTCATAAAATGTTAAACAAATATTAATTTTCTAAAATATTCATAAATTATATGTAAGAAAATAGAGACAAAATTTTTACCCTCATGCGCCTAAAGAAGTTTCACTTCAGTAAGAAAATTTGTTGAGTTTTAGATAAATCAATAAATATTTAATTTTATTTAAATTCAATAATAAAATTGGAATCCGAATATTTTATTACAAAGAATAAATTCATTTATAATGTAATTTTAGAAACTTGACGTTATCACAAATTAATTGCTAATGAATGATAAAAATATATATTATTACAATTAAAAAGAAACTTGAAGAATACTTAAGTACTTATAATAAATAAATAAATAATGTTATCTTTAATATTCATTTAAATAATTTTATTTGGTATTATAATAATATTCATATAAATAATTTAAACTCCGACATCCAAGTCTCGGTCTGAGTTTGAGTCTGAGTCTGTGTTTTAAGACACAAGCGTCAGTCTGAACATTTCTTTTCTTACATCATATTATTGTTTGATGATTAAATAAAAGCATCAGAATATTTTTAAGAGAACAAACAGTTCTTAAATAATACAATGGTACGGTTTTTAATGCTACTAAAATATTTATTTATGAAGACATTGCAAAAATATATTATATACAAGATATATTTTATGTATGTATAATAAGTAAAATTATTAACAAATAATTTCATATCTCTTTTTTCTTTACAATTTTTTTCTTAAAACATACGATATTTCTTATAAATGTCTGTTATTAATAAAAAAATTATATCTATCGGCATCTTTACGTGTTTAATCAAAGGAATAATGAAAAAAACTCGTCTTAGGAACCGAAACGAAACTATGATCCGATTTCAAACATGCAGTAGCCACGACTCATTGACTTTAAAAGCTTTGTACATGTAATTATCAAATAAAATTCAACTTTACTTGTATTGTGTGTAAAGTTGATTTCATGTCAGCACGCCATCTAGCGGGCAATGTTTACAAGTAGTTGTTTATTGTGCTCGCCACCCGCGGCGTCTGTTTTAGATCCGATTTTTTTCTCCCGCCCTTCTCTTTGTTGCAATTTTTTTGCCGACCATTATTAAATAAACTAAATACCGAATATAATGAGTGTAAAAATTGGATGAACCATTGTTGTTTGACGGGCGTTTGTTTGTATGTTCGTATGTGAATTACATTTCGCGGGAAACTGTGTCTAGTCTTGGACACACGTTGTACTTACAATATACGTAATGATTGAAACATTTTTAAACAAATTATTTTGAAAACCAAACATTTAGATCCAATATTTTTTTATATTGTTTACTACATTACCTTACTTAATCACGAAAATTATTTGAAGTTATTTTTTTAATAAAAAGCGTTACTGAAATACATGTCTTTTAATTAGCAGTGCACTATTCTATTTTATATTCCCTTTTATAATGCAAATAAATGTAGTTATTAGAAATTAATAAATCTAACCATAATTTAAAAGACCTCAAAAGGTATGATACTTTTAAAATAATGACAAATAATTAAAAACGACTTGACAGCAAATGACTTGTTAACCATATTTACGTAAAATGATTACCAAAAGTATTAACGAATTCAACTTCGATTTTTCATCATCTTAATTTTGACCTTTATTTTATTTATCGAAATAACAAAATAAAAAAAATATATAATACTATTCTAGTATGTAATACTTGGTTATTATTATTTTTGGTGTTGCAACAAAAGCAATATGTAACAAAATAAATAAAAAGTTGAGAAATCTAATACTACACAAGACGGTTAAAATGATACCTATACCTCATTAGTTTTTAAAATTAATAGAAAACAGGTACAGTACGACGACGTAAACAATGCTATAGCTGATATAGTACATTGGTTTAGTGTAAACAATCTTAGGCTAAATAATAATAAAACAAAAATTGTAAAATTTAGTACACCTAATGTACATAATGTAAAAGCCGATGTACTCATTAACGGGGAATCGATGGATCCAATTGATTCTGCTGAGTTTCTTGGCCTTACTGTTGATGCTAAGTTGCAATGGGGCCCCCATATTAGCGGATTGGCGAGTAGACTGAGTTCTGCGGCATTCGCGGTCAAAAAAATTAGATTATGTACCGATGTTGATACGGCTCGCTTAGTATATTTCAGTTACTTTCACAGTATAATGTCATACGGTATTATGCTGTGGGGCAACGCAGCCGCTATCCATACTATATTTGTGCTACAGAAGAGGGCTATTCGCGCAATCTATAACCTAGGAGCTAAAGAATCGTTAAGGAATAAATTTAAAGAAATCAAGATATTGACTGTTGCTTCTCAATATATATTCTGCAATGTTATGTATGTACGAAAAAATATTAATGATTTCATGAGAAAATGTGATACTCATAGCATTGGTACAAGGAACAAACATAAACTTGTTACTCCTGTTACTCGACTACATAGAGTCAGTAACTCCTTTGTGGGGCAATGTATACGGTTTTACAACAGGATCCCAGAAAGCGTTCAAAATGCCTCTATTGCTAAATTTAAAAAAAAATATTAAAGAACGCTTGTGTGCAAAAGGTTACTATACAATTAAGGAGTTTATGAACGATAGCACACCTTGGGAATGAAACGCTCGCCTCCTGGCTATTTCATCTCATATTAAATTGTGTATATTGTAATATATGAGAGAAATATATATATATATATATATATATAAAAAAAAAACCCGCTGAGTTTCTTTCGCCGGTTCTTCTCAGGTCAGGGTATTTTCTTTTCCGAACCGGTGGTAGTGTCTCAAATGACCATCAATAAGAAAGTGTAATACTTCTATATTGAATAAAGTTGTTTGAGTTTGAGTTTGATAAAAAGCACATCTTAATCTTCATACTCTGCTACATCTATTGTTGAGTAGCTTTAATAATTATTTATCCTGCCATCTAGTGTCAAATAGAAATATTTCTTTTAAATGTTCTGACATAACGAAATCTACAGATTTCTTTTAACATTGTTACAATAGCATTGTTTCCTTTCAGATTTTCGATTGAAAATGGAGATAGAGCTTTCACAAAAATTAAAATATAATTATTTTTGTACATATTTTGTACTTTCTTAAAAATAATGTGCTATTGCTATTTTACCGTTTTAACTTTTACTTAATTTTTTAAATTTAAATATACATATTCTTTTTTTTTTCATTATTTTCTAGGATATACTTTAAATATTTTAAATATTTAGTTATGAAATATAAACAAAAACACGCCTATAATAATAAAGTTATATTCACAGTTCCGTCTTGATATTTCTGTTGGTTATCGATATTTTTAAATTGTCCGGTTTATAATCGTCTTCAACGATCCTCTTCTCTATGATTCGTTTATACGCCAGGGCTGATAGTCTCGCTGTTCTATTTCTATTCTCTGATTCGAAGTCTACTTCATAAAGACCGAATCTTTCGCTGAAAATAACTCTTAATAAGAATATAACCTTAACATTTTTATTGGTGATCAAATTTAAATAATATTTCTAGATATATATTTCTTATCAAACGATTATTCATATTCAAATATTTGTTATACCCGAATTCACGAACGGTTTTAATTGACAAGTAAAATTTATTCTGACCACAATACCTCATACAATAATTATTTACAATCAAAATGAAATACGCATACCAAATAAAATATGCAAATAATATAAAGAATATGGCAACTACCTAGTTCCAGCGACCCACTCCACATTGTCCATCAGACTCCACGTCGTATAACCTCTCAAGTCCGTGCCATCTTCTAACGCAAACAGTAAAGCCTTCAAGTACAGCCTCAAGTTCTCAACCCTCGTGTGATCTTTCAACCCTGGTCCCGTAGACCAGCCGTGTTCCGTCACAAACATTTGAGGGTAGTCGTACTTTGTATTGAGATATACACACACCCTGTATATACCGTAGGGTACGCTCTGTGGATTATTATATGATAACATGAGTTACTATAGCTGCTTATTAAATGAATTATGTATATAATGTGGATATACTTATAAACATTACAAATGACAAAGACTTTGATGAGCATAGGTTAAAATAAATTGACTCTTTTAATAGTTAAAATGATTGTTCATCGCTATATTTAGTTACAAGTAATGCTATGAATAATTATATTTATTATTTGGATTCAATATATTAATTATTAAATCTACCATATACTTTAAAAGCATTAGTATCAGTAGTTTTAAAAATGAAGAGTTTATAATAGTTCAATTTACCTTCAACCAGCTAGATGTCGCGTTCTTCCACTCCGTTCTGTATGTGAGCTCAACATGCATGTCGTCCTCGATAGATGGCGCTGTTATTAACTTGTCCGTACTCTTCACTAGGACAGTCGTATAATGATTCACTCCAACGAAGTCTGAAGACCCTATAATTATTTGGAGTCAATAAGCTGTTGCTTTAATCTAAGTGTAGCATGCGTTCTATAGATTCTTTATAAAATTAGATTGAGAGCCCGCCTTTTTAAGGTAAAATATGTAATATGACAATCTTATATTAAGATTTACTTTACGATATTTGGTACAAAATAAATTATCATCAAAGCGTGTCCACAGATTTTTGAAATTAAACCATATCATGAGTTTTGATTTAGAAATAATAAGAGTCCCCTAGTGATAGTTACAACTACTATTCATGTTTCTAATACATAGGTAGATTCAAGCCTTATTTCTATTCTTTATTATATTTAAACGACTTCAAAATAAAGGAAACACTATGTGAAGTTGGATGAAATTTTATGTTTTGATTCTTTGTGTATTATCACATTAGACATCTTCATTATTAGTTTGCTATTGATAGTATCAATGAAAAAAGTACACTTTTTATAAATCACACATTCCTTACGCTATTGAAATAGTTTTTTTTATGTCAGTTCATTATCATGTGTTTTAATTATCTCATAACGACGTTTGACTTTAGATCATATCACAAAATTCCTGAAGCAAACTTCAAATCATGATACTTACCCTTCAAAAGACTAATTTCTTCCTTACTAAGGGTGGGTAGTCTAGATTTCTTGAATCCTTGCTTCAAGCTGTTCTGATGTACTCTCTCAATCACCATTTTGGGGAACCCACCTTCTTTCGACCATATAGGATTCATGTAGAGACCGATCTAAATTTTAAAGAAATTATTAGTTATTGCGATGCGATATCTTGAAGTTAATATATTTTATTGAATGAATGTGGTCCTACAATAATTACAAATTTAGTTTCATTCTTAAGAATACAACTATAATGACTTTAATAAATGAAACAAATATTTTATCGTCTTACAAAGCGTATTTTGTTTTTAAAATATAAACTATATATTTCCAAAAATTTAGAACTCTTCACGATTTTGCGTGTGGCCCCTGTTTAATAAAATACGCGTAGGAATCCGAAAAATATTAGTTTCATTTAAATGAATACTCACAAGTCTTAGATTTCATTATGTCTACAATATTCCATGTTGTTTTTGGACTAAGATTAAAATTATATTCATACCATAAATTCTCTGTAAATGTCCGCAGCTTCAACATTTTCCGTGCTGTTGTTGACTGGATCTGCCCAGTTTAATGCAAGCGCTATGCCAACAGATCCTAAAGAAAAATACAAATATATTGAAACATAATTAACAAAATTTTATATCAAACTATGCCTTCTGTGTAGTTTTTTGCGCAAGCAATGGCCACACTTTTCGATAAACTGTTAGACTAAAATTGATGTTTATATAAGTTGTAATAACAGTATATAGATAAATCGAATATCAAATCAACTAAGAGAAATTAAAACAGTAAAAATTCTTCATTCATTGGCATCTTGTACTTGTACTTGATACCCCAAAACTTTCAATATATGCAGTAATTGCTTAGAAAATTTTCTATAGTAGGTGGACTTTGCCCTATATTTAAACATATAAGACATAAATTCCAAATTACCCTTATACTTCTTCTTATATTCCCTCTCATATAACCTGTAAGCCTTCGCATGGGCAAGCAGCACATTTTTTACACACATATAATCAGCGATTCCACTTGACTCGATTGCTGGTGCCATCAAATCCTGACCGTAACCTTCCACGCATATAGAATTTGGTTGATTAATGGTTATCCAATATTGAACCTTATGTGCAAATGCTTTAAAGATCACAGCTGAATAATCTTCAAACCATTGTATTGACAATGGATTGGCCCAACCTCCAAAATCTTGGAGCGTTTGTGGCAAATCAAAATGGTATAAAGTTATCATCGGTTTTATGTTGTATTTCAATAATTCATCTATCAATTTGTCGTAGTATTCGAGACCTTTTTCGTTTATTTTATTCGAGAATCCTGAAATAACAGAAAAAAGTACTAATTAATATCTATATATGCAAATAAATTTTTCATGATTATTAATCATGTTAAATTATTGAGGAAAAACATAATATCAACGGAATAATCATATAGATGAAATTATTATTTCATTTGGAATTATTGACTGTGAAATTCACCAAATGTTTATAAAAAAATCTTTTATGAGAAATGCACAAATGTGATGGTTTCGTCAAAAAACTAGCTTGAAAACCGATTTCGATGAAGTTTTCACTAATTATGCCTAATAATAAATTACACATAGGACTATTATTTATATAGTTTCCATGGAAACATGACGTCAAAATTTAATATTTTACTAGGCCATGTGACATCTATAAAAGGACTTGATAGTTGATTATCAGATTATTGGTTTCATTAGTGATTCAAACGGACAAATTCACGTTCAGAAAATAGTGTATATAACGTGAAACAAGATTAATAAAACAAGAAACAATAACTTTATTCAGAAATTTTCATCTCATCCGCGATAACGACTTCGCAAAGTAACCGACCTTTGGAGTATGTAGTTAAAATAATGAAATTCACGTAATGATCCGAATATTAGTTATATCTTAACTTACCACCAGGCAAAACTCTGCTCCAAGATATTGAGAACCTATAGTAATCCACACCCAATTCCCTCAACATTTCCACATCTCTCTTGTACTGGTGGTAGGAGTCGGAAGCTATATCACCATTTCTACCATCTGATATAATTTCTGGGTGGTCGTGAACATATTTGTCCCAAATGCTGTCACCTTTATCTATAAAATTGTGGAACTATAAGTTTATTTCATAAACTATGAATTGGGTAATATCTATTTTTTTACTATGATTTAATTGTGATTTTTATCAAGAGCAACATATATTTAAACGAAGCTTAACATATATGTATATGTATTAGATAATAGTTTCAAAGAACATTAATTTCTTATCACAATAGACATATAGTAAAATATTATTAATAAAAAGTAAATAATTAAGTAAATTAAATATATAAATAAATCCATTAATTAATATTGTTTCCAAGAGAACCTTTGAAAAGTCTGGTATAAAAACTATCCTATGTTCTTTCTCAAGGTGAACTCTATGTCTGTACCAAATTTCATTAAAATCAGTTCAGTGGTTTAGGCGTGAAAGCGTAACAGACAGACAGACAGACAAACAGAGTTACTTTCGCATTGATAATATTAGTAGAGATAAACTAATATTTGTATTAACTCAATCATCATCACACGTGAGATTTTTAAATCAAATACCGAAGCTTTTCGCTTGGAATAGATATAATTTCATTCATTCATTCATATGTTTAAATTGTTCACCATCTTCATTCCACGCCCCTTCAACCTGATAAGCAGACGTCCCAGCACCAAACAAGAAACCATCGGGGAATCTTCGAACCTTGGAATCCGAATAACCTTCAACTTGGAATACACTGGCACTGAAAAGAAAATATTTATTTAACTTACTTTTCGTCTAATACGAGATTTATATACGTAAACTTTGATGGTAATAACTTTACTATTGGTGTGTTTAATGTAAATTATTGACGCAATTAATTTAGTTTTCAATTTTAAACTTTAATAATAACGAGTCATGGTTCTATTTATAATGGTTTAACATTTAATGTCTTTATTTTGAGTGATGGAACGTATTTATTATACCTATTAGTACTTGCGACTTGTCATTTTAACCTACATACGATCAGTTTCCATGTTTATCATAAAAATTAAGGTAAGAAAACGTTCAAAAATTCGTTACTACTGTGATAATGTAAGTTTGTAGTAAACATATAGTAAAAAAATGGTCTTTGAAACCCGGCATTATTCTAAACGCCTAGATCGTCTTGTGAGTAAGAAGTTATGCAATAATAAATATTACTATACGAAAACTTGGAATTCACACATGAAAAATTAGATACAAGGTACTTCTTAAGTAAACAATCAACATTTCAACAAACTTAAAATGTACACGTTTTATCTAATAACAATATTAATATAAAAATAATAAAGTCAATTAATGTGTTACTTTAAATAATATCTGTTTTATATTCCAATCTTAATTATTTACATTTAATTATAATAATAGTAACTCACCATAATAATAGAATTATACAAAACATATTGACACAAGTGAATGACTTGCGTCTCTCTAATAAACTGACTAACACGTAATTAACTGATATTAAAGATAATATCCCTTTGAGATAGCATATAATTATAGAAATATTAATATCTATGACAATTCAATACTTGTCTATGTTTGTGACAATATTTTTAACTAAAGAATATATATGTATTGTCTAATTCATAGCTTCTGTATGAAGAACATTTTAATAATACAGCATGAAATGTTTAATTATTCTTTTCGTGCATAAATACATGTGTAATTATTGCGCCTGAATAAATTATATTAGTAATGACAGTTACAAAGATGTTGCAATTATTTTTGTCAAATGCCATTGTAATAAAAAATGTGCATTTTTTTTTGTATTTATATTATTATTTTAATATAACAATGCCACAATTATATTTCATAAGTCTAAAAGAAATAATTTCAAGTACTATAATTTTCGGGCGATTGAAACGCCGTCGTTTAAAACCGCTTATTTTGTTACGTCTTTATTACAGATTTCTTTTTTTTTTGTGAATAAAACATATACATTATTTTATTGTATTGGAAAATTAAAAAGTGTTTATCAATAATAATAATGATTATAGAACTATCAAAGTTACTTAAAGATTTATAGAACAATGCTTTGGTTATGCTGTAAAAATTATTTTGCAGTTGAGGCTATGCATTGTATTAGGAAGAAACTTTATTTTCTTTATTAAAATGATTCACTGCTTTCTCAAATTAAAGGCATTTCTCTTCTATAACATAATCTTTAGTTACTCCACCAGTGAAGCACCTACAATACAGTTATTTCAGCTTAATTTTAAACACTTTTTTAATGTTAATTTTTCTTAGTTTTCAATTTCTTTTTGGTTCTTCTTTTTGTAGAAGACCGTTCCAATTCATAGTCGTTGTAATTAATTTTTTGCCACTATTATAGATTCAGTCAGAGTTTAGTTTTCAGTTCAGTAGAGTTACCATGCAATGTTTTACTTTGAAGCTGAAGTATGAACATATCTAATTTCGTACCATAATACACTATTTTTAGTTTCGGAAGAATAAATAACTAAAAAAAATATTGATAACAAACAAACAATTTAATAATTCCTACAAATTATTGAAATAACTAAAGTAATAGGTTTTTTTATCACACTAATACGCAATGATAATTGATTGATACCTCACATACTATGTATAATCTAATAATGTGATTATAAAATGACTCACAATACCGAATTTACAGAGCTCCAACTGTTCCGAAGGTTCACGAGCAATAGAAAGACTGGATAAAAGACTACAGATGTTTATAAAAATAATTAATTAGAGGGTACTTTAATAAATCCAAGAGGAGGGTTGCTCATACTGTTATATTGGTCAACCGTTGAAATAACTTGAATCCGTCTTTAGTTTATAAAACTCAATAAATTCTAGGGCATTTTACGTAACCTGCTACTAATTACGTACATCATCATCATCATTTAATTATCCGCTGGATGCGGGTGGCACAAGACCGGTCGTCGTGGAAATCCTTGGGGGAGGCCTATGTCTTGCAGTGGACGTCTTTTGGCTACTAATTACGTACATTTAAAAAAATATCTGAAACTAAAAGGCTAAATTATATTTTATTTCTTGTTATTGTATCTTCTACCTGGCAATTTTCCAGGTATAGCCAGCGTCTGTCTTATATGTTGCGAATAGTTTTCTCTATTTGTTTTTACGACCGGCCGCCTGCCTGATATCAACCCTCTTTTGGGAATGCATTAATCAGTTATTGTATATGTATGTAAACATACATATTTTTTTTACTATTCTTCTATCTGCATTGATAGAAAAGTTATTAAACATATGTGCATTTATATTTGTATTTTAAAAGAGAACGTTTTGCATTAAAAGGAATAAGAGTTTGAAAAATATTTAATATTTATCTAATACTCATCAAAATCGGTTCAGCGTTAGGCGTTAAAACGTCACAGACAGTCAGAATTACTTTCGCATTTTTAATATTTGTATGTATACTATTCTAAGATTTTAATTGAAATTAAGTTATTTGATGATTTTGAAAGATAATTTTGTTCACAATGATATACTAAAGTTCTACTACTAAAGTAAGTAAGTAAGTACTAAAGATATAATAATGTTGATAAAACTCTTTTGCTAATAATTCATTCTTAGGTAACAATTTTAATTTTACACTCGTGATAACTTCTAAACGAAATGTCCGATTAGAATGAAACCAAAAGTATTTTATTTCTAAATAAATACCCCTGATAAGATAATAGATAATTTGTATAAGAATTAATATTACGATACACATTTAACGTAGTTTCTATGTTCACATGATTTAATATTATTTTTAGCACAGAAGAGGATATTATGACTAAACTTTAGTCAGACACATATTCTCATGGACATTTTTCTAGATCTTAATGTATTGTGACCTACCAACCTGTAGTATATTATTTTCTTGTATTGTCTATAGGTTTTCGATTTTACACATTGGATTACAAAGTAGCAATTTTCTGACAGATCTCTAATATTATTAAAATAAAATATAGCGTACTTATAGCCTTCTTCGACAAATAGACTATCTAACACAAAAAGAATTTTCTAATTTGAAGTAGTAGTTCCTGAGATTAGCTTTTAAACAAACAAACAAACAAACAAACAAACAAAAAAACAAACAAACAAACAAACAAACAAACAAACAAACAAACAAACAAACAAACAAACAAACAAACAAACAAACAAACAAACAAACAAACAAACAAACAAACAAACAAACAAACAAACAAACAAACAAACAAACAAACAAACAAACAAACAAACAAACAAACAAACAAACAAACAAACAAACAAACAAACAAACAAACAAAGAAACAAACAAACAAACAAACAACAAACAAGGGAAAGGACTTAGGATACTTTTCATCCGATTGAAAGAAAAATAAGTCGATCGAATCCAAAATCTTCTTATCTACTGTCTTTAAGGAGGAATAGAGTTCGCTCACCTATATATTGCTAATTTTGAAACTAACATAGACAAAGTCGCGGACAAAACCTAGTATTACTATAGAAGTATACTCCAACCTCTTGGGTTATATACCTTGTATATAACCCAAGAGGATGAAGTATTTTAACTGGCCGATGACTAAGAGAGTACCAGGATCATATTGCATCTAATATCTGTAGTAGTAATGAGAGGATGTTCGCAATACAAGATCTATTTAAGTAATTTTCTAGTTTATGTTATCATACTTGCTATTATGTTCTTCACATTTTGTCGATTTTTAGAAGTGTAAACATCCCGTAGGAAATCCTTGCCTACCAGATAAATTTCAAAAACTTTAAAAGGTAAAGTTTAGAAAAGTATATTCATATGATATAATGAATTTTATATTACAGTGGAACAACGAGTACAGATTAGTAAAAGTATTTGAGAACTTTATTTATTTATATACCAATTATTCGCTAAGCAAACTTATAAAGTATATTAAATTATATAAATATTAGATTAATTTGACTTCGTCATAGACAACCATGTTAGAAATATTTTATTGTGTTATATTTAAAAAAAAAATTCGGTAAATGTACATATGTAAAATAAACACGTTTTAAAATATTAACACTATAATTAATATCAATTATTTTAGTTTGTTTCAGTGTTCAATGATTTCTTCTTGTGGCCTTTTCAACTCATATAATTAATCTTTTTGTTAAGCTTATTAAGAACATCTTGTTCTTTTTGTCTACCAGAATTTGTAACTTTGGGCCATAATATAATATTTTTATAAAGTAATAATTCATTATACAATATTTATTAATACAACATATAATGAAAACTGTGTATTAGCTCTGAGATTGACGCTACAGATAATTTACCCAAATATTTCATAGAATTTAAGATCAAGACCTTTTCGCAACACTTACTAAGTACCTTATTAATTAATTATTATTAGTCTATTATTAGTCTAAATTTTTTTCAAAGTAGTATTAGTCAGAAAGTAGTTGTAAAAACAATACAACTACTTTTTACATCAAATTTATTATTGAAACACTGAAAATTGTATGTCATATGTGGTATTAATGTTTTTTATTACAGTAGTAGGTACACTGTTTTCTCTTACAATAAAAAGAAATATTTATACAAATCTTCTTACAGAACACAATACAATTTAGGTTTGTAAATGTTAAACTGGTAACGCTCCATATGTAGTGGGACGATTCAAATTTGTGGAAAGGGTACGAATGTGTATTATCTTTTATTACACATAACAAAAACAACACAAGTTTTAATTACGCATTTTCTCTATAAACATAAATTTGATGATAAATATATTCATGCTATATCTTGATCATTTCCCTTCATCAATGGTCATGTCCAGTGTGTCAGGTTCATACTCCTCATCAATCACGCGACTCTTGATGATCTGTTTGTACACGAAGGCTGACTTACGAGGAGTTCTCTCACGACCTGGGTCCGAGAAGTTGACACGGTAAAGACCGAGGCGCTCTCTAAAAATAATATTTAAACAATATTTATGATATAGAATACCAAGTCATCAATCTTTTTAGGAGTTTTTATGAGCCTTATTTTCAGATAGTGACCATCATGAAAACAGTCTTAAGAATGTATCAAACTAAACATGATGCCTTTAAAGCATTACACCAACATTATTTAATGATTAAAATATAACAATAATTTTATTGAGGTTCTCTAAATTGGATCAATTTTATTATTTTTTTTTAATTTTGTCAAAAGAAAGTAGACGTATAATAATTGATAATGGCATTTGTTAAAGACCATTTTTATTTTGGTCCTAAAATCATTATCTCAAGTGTTTTCATATCTCTAAAAATATATTTATCAAAACATTGATATGAATATTACAAAGAGATCAATAAAATTTTAAATTCATTAGATAAGTTGTCAATAAAAAAAATAATAAGTCAGTGGCGGCTCAGTGGTTAAAAGGCTCGCCTCTCATGCACGAGGGCGCGAGTTCGATCCTGGCCCTGGCAAGTACCAATGTGATTTTTCCGAGTCATATGTACTTTCTAAGAAAATTTAGACATCACTGATTAATCTATTTCCAAAAGAGGGTTGATGTCAGGCAGGCGGCCGGTCGTGAAAGCGTGTAGCCAAAACTATTCACAAATGTAAGGCAGACCATGGCTAAATCTGAGCAAATTGCCAGGTAGAAGAAGTTGTCAATAAAAATAATATTATGTAACAAACTAAATATAAGGGGTATCTTACGTATAACCAGCATTCCATTCGAAGTTGTCCATCAGACTCCACGCCATGTACCCTCGCAGATCCACTCCAGCCTCCAAGGTGTCCAGCACACTGTTCAGAGCCGCTCGGTAGTATCTGATCCTGTCATCATCAAGGATATCGGCTTCTGGAGACGAGGACCAGCCGTTCTCCGTGATGTAGAACACTGGACCGTTGTACTTCTTGTGGAGATGAGTCAGGGCATTGTATACGCTGTTTGGTGCTTGCTGTTGAATAAAAAAGCTATTTTATTAACAATATCTACGAATGTCACAAATGCATTGAAAAAATCATTAAAAAATCTGAGTGATCACAATTCCTTTACATCAATGTAAATTAGTTTCCACAAATCGTTTTTAAGTGCTGATTTTTACTACAACAATCAGGTATTATCATATATTTATATACTTACAACTAACCATGAAGAAGCAGATTTGGGCCACTCCGGGGGCACGTATGTTCCTACATTAACATCATCATATAAAGACGGTACTGGGTGGTTAGTCTTATATTCTGATGCAGATACAAAGCTCCCTGAGTAATGATTTACTCCAAAGAAATCAGCAGCTCCTCTTACGAAATCCTTCTCCTCATCAGAGAATTCTGGCATACGTGATCGAGGATAACCTTGCTCGGCGCTTTTTTTGGCCACCACTTCGGCTAATTCCTTAGGGAAACAGCCCTCTTCAGAGAAAATAGGTTCAGCGTAGAGCCCCCACTGTAATAATTATACCAATAAATAAGTAACCTATTCTCACCATCAAATTTAATAAATCATTACATATATCTTACTTCTGCTTGTCTCTTCATTTCAGCAGCTAATTGATCTTCCTCGGAATCTTTCAACGGCCCGAACCAATTCACACTTATTGTGATACCACAGACACCTTCTTGGCTAGGCTTGAAGTCATTGACGTATGCGTAATAAGCTCTAGCGTGACCCATTACCAGATTTTTGGCACAGTAATATGTACCGACGTCGGTTGCATTAAGGATAGGAGCTTTGGTTGCTGAACCATAGCCTTCAAAACAGATTTCTCTAGGTTCGTTGAAAGTAATCCAGTGCTTGACCCTATCTCCAAACTTTTCAAATACCACCCGGGCGTAATCTTCAAACCATTCGGGGAACATAGGATTCACGAATCCTCCTAAATCTTGCAACTTCTGTGGCAAGTCCCAGTGGTACAGAGTGACCATGGGCGTTATGCCGTATTTAATCATTTCATCTATGTAGTTGTTGTAAAACTCAACTCCGGCATCGCTGACTTTGTTGGCCAGGCCATTGGGTAGTATTCTAGACCAGGAGAGAGAGAACCTGTAAGCGTCTAGACCCAACTCTCTCATCATCTCCACATCACGTTTGTAGTTATTGTATGTATCGGCTGCTACATCACCGTTGCTCACATCTTTTATAATGTTAGGGTTAGTGTGAGTCAAATGATCCCATATATTCTCTCCTTTGTCTAAAACAAAGTAATTAAATTCTTTATGTGTTAAAACTTCATACAAATAATTGTTACCTTACCATCAGCATTCCATCCCCCCTCTATTTGATAAGCGGCTGTGGCGGTTCCAAAAAGGAAGTCGTCTGGAAACCTCCTCTCCTGGGCATTACTGCATATTAACAACCTAAGGAGATATAAGGACAGATAATAGGAGTCATTTCATTAAAATGGGATCGTGACAAAAAGCCAGCTGGCCACTGCACGACAGTGTTTTACATGCTGTATTAGCTATGTCTATACAAAAGACACTTCTCTACTACTCCGGCAACCAAGAGGATACACTAGAGAAGCTACTATAAAATTCAAGAAAAGCAAGCAAATAAGAAATAACGAACTACAACTTGAAAATGGTAACCACTACCGGGCCATCAAGACCATTAGCGAAATAACTTAATTACTGAGAACAACTAAAATGAAGTGTTTGTAATATTTTTAAATCAAGTTTTTTAACAAAAATAAATAAATAAAATAAGGACCGATATTATAGATAAATAATAATAATTATTAATGTTTATTTCATTTCACTGGTGGCCTAATGGTTAAAAGGCCTTCCTCTCATGCATGAGGGCGCGGGTTCGAACCTGACCCGGGCAAGTACCAATATGATTTTTCCGAGTCATGTATACTTTTTAAGAGTATTAAGACATCACTGATTAATGCATTCCCAAAGAGGGTTGATGTCAGGCAGGCGGCCGGTCGTAAAAACAATTAGCCAAAACTATTTACAACAAGTTAAGGCAGACCTTGGCTAAAGCTGGGAAAATACCAGATAGAAGAATAATAATGATTAATAATATGTAATAACAATAATGATTAATAATAATGACATTGGCTTAAAATACTTTTGTATTTTCTTTTACCAATATCTCATCAAACACATTTTATCAATACTCGAAAAGAGCATATGATAAAGAAAGATGAATAATATAAACTCTTGACATAATAAAAAATATTTAAGAAAAAATACTTAATTTTTTTTATATTCAAGATATCAAGATCAAAGATTTTAAGAGTTTTGCAATTTTTACGTTATATTCATTTTTTTATATACTAAATATTATCAAAGGTCAATTAAAAGCTATTGTTAAAAGCGATGTATTAATATATATAGTATCATTGTAAGTATCTTCAACATATAACATATACTACGTACCCTATGAACAGTAGTACTCTCATAGCGTCTGATGATCCGCCTCGCTCAAGCCAGACCTGCTGTTGTTATGTACTGAACATGTCTTATATACACTCATCATCACTCCTACGGCGAACACGATCTAGATAACTGATCTACAAACTTATCTGGTACTAAATATTAATATTATTTAAGATTTCCTGAAAGCGTTGGGGAATTATGTGAAAAAAATAATCTTCAGTAATTCTTTTTTCCCTATACAAAGTTAGAAGAACGGGTTTAAAAAAACGTTTGTTTTTATGTTTTGTATAAAGAGAGTTAATATTAAAATTGTAATTTGAATAAAAGAAGCCATTTGGTCAAATCTATATACTTATATAAAATAAAGTTGTGTTAGTTACACTTTTTACATCTCAAGAACGGCTGTAGGAATATGGTTGGAAATTGGTGGGGAGACAATTTAGAACCAGGAGATGGACGTAGGATATTTAATTCTCTTTGATCGAAAATAAAAAACTTAATAAATTCCAGTCTCTGGTAATTTACAGATTCTACGGCAGTATAGAGTTTACGGTTTACCCGATCAGCTATACGTATGTACATATATTACTAATTCCAATATTAACGAGGACGAAGTCGGGGTCAAAAGCTAGTAGCAGATAAGTATAAAAGTTTCTATAAAGATGATTGGCATTTTTACAATGACAAAAGATAAATGCAACAACACATTGTTAAAAAGGAAAGTATTAAAGAAAAATGAGACAGTTTACAGAATGCAACGTGTCGAATGTAGAATTATCTATTTTTATGGAAAAACATAATAAAATAAATGTTTTGCTTATTATATATATTTGTTTTATTATTAAAACATTTTAAACCTATACAATAAAAAACTAGTGATCTCTAGGGAATACTAAATATTGTTCAATACTGACGAATATTTTTAATAAATATATAGACACCGTTTTGCCTGGTCTGATGAAACAAAGCGATCCTATGTTTCAGAAGATATTCATGTATGATTAGTGAAGTTATATGTACTGACCAGAAAAGTTTTACAAGAGCAAAGGTAGTCAATGATTATGCTGTATCTCTTAAACACACTTATAACACGTGAAACATCTCAAGACGTTCTAAGTTGTGTTATTAATCTGTATTCTTCTTCTTATTTCTGGCAATTTCCCAGCTAGCCAGAGTCTGCCTTACATGTTGTGAATAGTTTTGTCTAATTGTTTTTACGACCGGCCGCCTGCCTGACATCAACCTTCTTTGGGAAGGAATTAATCAGTGATATCTTAAGTACTCTTAAAAAGTGCATATGTCTCCAATCACATTGGTACTTGTCAGGGCCAGAATCTAACGTGCCCGCATGCATGAGAGGCGGGCCTTTTAACCACTAGGCCACCACTGACTTAATGACATCAGTATACATACTATAAATAAAATATAATACATATATACTTACTTATAATTAATATATACTAATAGCCTCGTCTTATTTTACCGCATTTACGCACGACACAGTATTGCTATTTATTTTAATCAGGAGTTTGCTATACACAATTATACAATGTCGTTTCTTATGTTCTTCAATTACCTGTACTAAAAATAATTGTCATTAGTTCTTCTCGCTTTGCCGCAAAAGGATCAGTTGTAACAAATCTTAGAAAACTTTAATACTTTTATTTGGAGTTTCATTTTTGAGACTACATTGTGTACAACTAAAGACAATATATTATATTGTTGTTAATTTGATATAATTTGAATAATTATTATCAGCTGCAAAACAGTGATATAGATATAATTGTTTAAAATTGAAATGAGACCACACGGGAAAAACATTAAAAAAACAGACGAATTGAAAACCTCCTTTTATAAAAACAGTTAAAAAAGAAAAACGATCAAAAAATTATTAATGAACAGTGCAAATGTTAATTAAGTACTCTACAATTAACATGATTTATATAAGAAGAGTTTTGAGATATCTTTGAAGTTCCATTCATCTGAAGGTTACTGTAATACAATGTCCATTTCAACATACGAGTTGAGATGTAATCTGAAATTGTCTTGACATCATGCGTTAGATAGGGGCCATCGCCTTGCAGAGAGAGGAGCTTCAACAGAGCCTGGGACTTGCGACCCAGGTGTAGGTTTAAAGAACCTCCCCTCTATCGAGCAAGCTCCTCTCTCCATAACCAAATTAAAATGAAGTTTTATATATTTCTAGAACTTCATTTCGCTCTATAATCAAGAAATATCCGTATAAATTCTTTATTTATTTATTTATATATATTTATATATTTTTATTATTATTTTTGGAATTTACCTTTAAGCTACAAATCTCTGTGTTTTGAAGTGCGACAGAATGATTGACATATTAGTTAGTTGTCAAATCTAATGTCAAAAAAAAACGTTTGTATGGGAAATAGAAAAGGGCTGTTTTTGACGGAAATTAATCAATTTTTTTCAGCTTCTAAACCTTCCCTGCACCTCCACGAACATTTCAAGAGTACGATAAGATAAATCCGTTCAGCGTTCTCGAGTTTTAGAGAGACTAACGAACAGCAATTCATTTTTATATAGATATATAGATAGATAGACGGATAATCTTCTGATTTGTATAAAATACAACAAACAGTCGAATAGGCGCTGTTCTAGCCAAGAAGCTAAGTTAAAAACATTTTTAAGAAGGATCATTAAATAAAAAACAATTTTTATAAGTTATCGTTTAACAATTATATTTACATAAATTCTCGTATGTTTACAATCACGTAAATGCTACATATATCTTAATCATTTCCCTTCATCAATGGTCATGTCCAGTGTGTCAGGTTCATACTCCTCATCAATCACACGACTCTTGATGATCTGTTTGTACACGAAGGCTGACTTACGAGGAGTTCTCTCACGACCTGGGTCCGAGAAGTTGACACGGTACAGACCGAAACGTTCCCTGAAACAATAATATATATTCAAATGAATTGATATTTACTATCAATTAAAATCTACCGTTAATTTTATACGGAAAGGGAAGATCACGAAAAACTTCTTAAGTCAAATCTATTTGCTATTTGATGTAATATAAATATAATCTATATAAATCAGCAGGCAAAACAAATACCACCAGCTAGAGTATATCTGATAATAATCTTTGACAGCAGTTATATAACAATCTACTATTATTTTCTATCGACGTAATCCAATCCTTATCATGTCGTATACGAGTGTTTACGTCGGTCTAAAAGGTTGTTCTTATCAAATAGTGTTATCTTTCTCACCAAGTGACCAATGATAACATATTATCTTAAACTATTATAACTATATATAGATAAATCTTACGTGTAACCCTCCATCCATTCAAAGTTGTCCATCAGACTCCACGCCATGTACCCTCGCAGGTCCACTCCAGCCTCCAAGGTGTCCAGCACACTGTTCAGAGCCGCTCGGTAGTATCTGATCCTGTCATCATCAAGGATATCGGCTTCTGGAGACGAGGACCAGCCGTTCTCCGTGATGTAGAACACTGGACCGTTGTACTTCTTGTGGAGATGAGTCAGGGCATTGTATATGCTGTTTGGTGATAACTGTTAGAAGATAAATCACATTAATACCTCGCTGAATGTAGATAAATATATAAAAGAACCCCTGATTGTGATAAAATAAAACTATCCATCAACAAAGACAAAAAAGGAAAAGTTTAATTTGTTCCTGATAAACAAAACAATAAAGACATAAAATATAGTTTCTATAAGTCTTTTATCCTTCACTGGAAGACACTTTATTGTCATTAATTGCTTTTTTAATTCAGTACTTACATATAACCAAGAAGAAGCAGATTTTGGCCACTCAGGGGGAGTGTAGCTTCCTACGTCAATATCATCATAAACTGACGGCACTATGTGGTTAGTCTTATATTCAGATGCAGATACAAAGCCGCCTGTGTAATGATTTACTCCAAAGAAATCAGCAGTGCCTTTTACGAAATCCTTCTCCTCATCAGAGAATTCTGGCATACGAGATCTAGGATAACCCTGTTCAGCGCTTTTTTTGGCCACCACTTCGGCTAATTCCTTAGGGAAACCGCCCTCCTCAGAGAAAATAGGTTCAGCGTAGAGTCCCCACTGGAATAAATTATGCAAATAAATAAGTAACCTACTCTCGACATCAATTTTAATAAATCATTGCATATATCTTACTTCTGCTTGTCTCTTCATTTCAGCAGCTAATTGATCTTCCTCGGAATCTGTCAATGGCCCGAACCAATTCACACTTATTGTGATACCACATACACCTTCTTGGCTAGGCTTGAAGTCATTGACGTATGCGTAATAAGCTCTAGCGTGACCCATTACCAGATTTTTGGCACAGTAATATGCACCAACGTCGGTTGCGTTTAGGATAGGAGCTTTGGTTGCTGAACCATAGCCTTCAAAACAGATTTCTCTAGGTTCATTGAAAGTAATCCAGTGCTTGACCCTGTCTCCAAACTTTTCAAACACCACCCGGGCGTAATCTTCAAACCATTCAGGGAACATAGGATTCACGAATCCTCCTAAATCTTGCAACTTCTGTGGCAAGTCCCAGTGGTACAGAGTGACCATGGGCGTTATACCGTATTTAATCATTTCATCTATATAGTTGTTGTAAAACTCAACTCCGGCATCGCTGACTTTGTTGGCCAGTCCATTGGGTAGTATTCTAGACCAGGAGAGAGAGAACCTGTAAGCGTCTAGACCCAACTCTCTCATCATCTCCACATCACGTTTGTAGTTATTGTATGTATCGGCTGCTACATCACCGTTGCTCACATCTTTGATTACGTTGGGTTTGGTGTGGGTCATGCGATCCCATATATTTTCCCCTTTATCTAAAATAAAATTTACAATATATAGAAAACCACAAATAAATACTATGTGCTTACTATATTCCGATCTTTATTATGTATGTACTTGTTATTTTAAACAATTACATAATGTTAAATTTGACTTGGTGTCTGTAAGATATTACGCAATTATCGTAGTTACCATCAGCATTCCACCCCCCCTCTATTTGATAAGAGGCTGTAGCGGTTCCAAACAGGAAGTCATCTGGGAACCTCCTCTCCTGAGCATTGCTGCCAATCAACAACCTGGACAAGATTTGTTAATGTTATAAAGAATAGTGTTTTATTAAACATTACCTTTAAATTTAGTCCACAAAATTGAGCACATTATATTCATTATAAATAAAATGCAAAAATGATAAAACAGACTTCACATCTCTCAAACCATGTGTCTTTTCTAAAAATATTTATTAAACTATCACAGTGTTTCATCTCGTCTTACCGACTTTTCTTATATTTATGTGTCAAAATTGAAAAGATATGTCAATATTTACTAAAATGTCAATGTATGGAAGTAATGAGGGTAGAACAAAAAATATCGCTATTAGGTGACTTAGCCTTGTATAAGGCGGTATAATTGAGTTCAAAAATTCTTATATTTTCTTATATTTTTGTCGGTTTTTATTTTATTAACATTATGTATATATCTTTATTATTTTCGATGAGGATTATGAAAAGTAAAGTTGTTAATAATATTAAAATTAATTAATTAATTTTTAAACAATGAAAATATGTTTTAAACTGGGGATGATAAACTTATAATGACTTTAATAACTGGTAATTTTTAAATTGTATTGAATATTCTAATTTAAAATCTAAATATCTTAAATTTTACTCTAAACTTAATTGTATGCACTGTTTCACTATATACTATATATGTATGAATATAAACCAAATGAATGTCGTTTAATATTATAAGCGATGTATTAACATATATAGTATCATTGTTAGTCTCTTCAACATATAACATATACTACGTACCCTATGAACAGTAGTATTCTCATAGCGTCTGATGATCCGCCTCGCTCCAGCCAGACCTGCTGTTGTTATGTACTGAACATGTCTTATATACACTCAGCATCACTCCTACGGTGAAGACGGTCTAGATAACTGATCTACTAACTTATCTGTTACTAAATAATAATATTATTTAAGATTTTTTTATTGATATTTTAAAGTTTTGCATAACTGTTATATTATTTTAATAATTAAACTGGTATTTTTTTATATTTGGTACAGTTCGCATATTGAGTTTTTTTTATGATATACAAAAAAAAAAAAATTTTTTTAATGACTGATAAACACATTTGTTAAAAAAAATTTAATCGTTTGTAACCTTCAAAATGGTTTATATTTACGATATAAAGGAATTCTAAAGAATCAGAAATTCATATATTATTATATTAATGTTTTTTTTAAGAGAAGGTCATTGGATTATAAAGGAAACAAAAATAATCAAAAACGACCTTTAGACCACCTGTATAAATTTTCTGTAGTGCATTTCGCTACTACGCTTTTAAATTGATCTATTAATATATATTTATAAATTAAATAAAAAAACATCCTGTAGTTATGTAAGAGATAAGAAAACTGATTCGTAAATAATATAATCCTAGTTCAAGTATTTTTTTTTTGTTTTTACCAAAATATTGAAGTGACAGTGCTAAAAATGTATGACAAGCTTTATCATGATCAAGTAAAACATATACAGGGTGACTGGTGAATTACTATCGATATTTGAGGACGTGATATTTGACGATCATATATGACAAAATAAAAATTAATATAACATAAATATTAATAAACTTCTAAGTAAAGTTAACCAAAAGTTATGTAATTAATTACGCATCGTATGAACACCCTACAGATTAGGTATACACACACACTCACACAGACGCGGCGGCGGCGTAGTGTTGTATCAGCACGCCGCCGCACGCGTCCACACTTGCAACACTTGGAACGTGTACACACTTTATTTATTTATACGGAAATTTTGTCAAAAATTAAGTACCTATTTTTTTTACATAATTCGAATGAGAATCATGTACCGAGTATTCTCCTTAAATATTGATAGTAATTCACCAGTCACCCTGTATATTATATATTTACAGTGAGTTACACAACATCTAAGATATATATATATATATATATATATATATATATATATCTTGATTAGTTTAAATCCGAAGTTACATATGCATATATTATGTGATCATTGTACGTTAATATTTTCAAAAGTTTTTAGTACAACCTGAGTACTGTTTTCCTGTTACTGTTATTGTTTTCCTGCTTTTGATTCTCTGATGTATAATAGCTAACTTAAACTTTGTTTTTCTTTTGAGTAATTTCTTAATTATTTTTTTCATCAATTCTTTGTCTTTTAGAGACAATATGAATCAAAATAAGTCTAGTTAATTCTGGTCCCGTCATTTGAACCACACCTACAATGATAACAATTGTTAACTGTGTAAGTCTTTAATATGAAATTCTAAAAAAAAACATCTACTCGTTCTAATTTATATATTTTGATTATATTTCTGACATCTGACTATTATGAAAGTGTTATATCATTGCATTGTTTAGTCTTTTTTTAGTCCATCAAACGTTTTATATCTCTACAATAGTAGATCACTCAAAAGTGATAGGCAATGGATTACACAAATTTTCTGTAAATATATTGATATTGAAAGAAAAGAATATATTTTATCAAAGAAATAAAATTGATAGGCTCTATTTATTTAAATCCATTCCTTAAGCCCACAGAAGAGAAGTGAACAGGAAATTGTTGCGAGGGTTATGTAAATATTTCTAAATATTTTTGTCCTGTTTAGACATAGGTTAATAAATTATCTAAATCGAATTGTTTTTCATTTAAATTAGCGAATTACTTTTTTCTTCTTATTTAATATTATTAATCTTGTAAGGACTTTATTATTAATTTGAAACGGATAGAAAATATCTAACACCAAAATTTTCCTGTCTTAACTAATTATAGAACACATTCTAAAGCTTCTCGTTGTCTGCTGAAGTCCATAGTAAGCGAGATTCTCTAGGAAAATAATCTTAGTAATATTGTATACAATTGTTTTTTGCATACTAAATTGTCAGCCTTATGCACAATTTTATCTCATTCTGAACATGCATTTCACTGCTGATAGGATGTTTTTAAATAACACACGAGGTGTAAGGACGTGTGGATATGAAGATATTATTATTTATTTGGTAATATATTTATAAAACTTTACGTAACGAATCTCGAAAATTTTTGGTGAGTTTGTAGCCGAATTTGCATTTATTTATTTCAGCCTGTTAATCGGCAGTCATGCTCAAGAAAGGAGATTTCCTGATGACTTTATGTTCGGGGCTGCGACATCAGCTTACCAGATAGAAGGAGGATGGAATGCAGATGGTGATGCTTTTTATATTTATTTAACATAATAACAACTACCATTCTATCTTGAGCTACAGAAAATCAAATGATAATACTGACAGAATAAGCTCTTTCAATATGTTTGTAGGAAATTGTTGAACAACTATATTTTACATTCATAGATATTTTGTTGTGTTTCAGACAAAGGAGAGAATATATGGGATCGCATGACTCACACCAAACCTAACGTAATCAAAGATGTGAGCAACGGTGATGTAGCAGCCGATACATACAATAACTACAAACGTGATGTGGAGATGATGAGAGAGTTGGGTCTAGACGCTTACAGGTTCTCTCTCTCCTGGGCTAGAATACTACCCAATGGACTGGCCAACAAAGTCAGTGACGCCGGAGTTGAGTTTTACAACAACTACATAGATGAAATGATTAAATACGGTATAACGCCCATGGTCACTCTATCCCATTGGGACTTGCCACAGAAGTTGCAAAATTTAGGAGGATTCGTGAATCCTCTATTCCCAGAATGGTTTGAAGATTACGCCCGGGTGGTGTTTAAAAATTTTGGAGACAGGGTCAAGCACTGGATTACTTTCAATGAACCAAAAGAATTCTGTTATCAAGGCTATGGAGGTGCAACCAAAGCTCCACTATTAAATATAACTGATGTCGGTACTTACTATTGTGCAAGAACATTACTCCTCACCCATGCTCGGGCTTACAGAGTTTATGAAAACGAATTCAAGAATTTTCAAGGTGGTATGTGTGGTATTGCAGTGAGTGTAGGATGGTATCTACCACTAACTGATGCAGAAGAAGATAAATTTGCTGCTGAAATAAAAAGACAAGCAGATGTAGTATTTATTAAATGACTTAAAATAGTTTCTTTCATGAGATTTATATGTTAAATCAATGATCTATTATAATTCCAGTTCGATCTCTACATAAGACCGATATTTTCGAAGGAAGGAGGTTTTCCAAAGGAGATTGTTGAAATTGTTGCCAACAAAAGCGGCAGTCAAGGTTACCTAAGATCTCGTTTACCAGATTTCACTGAAGAAGAAAAAAAATTTATACGAGGTACTGGTGATTTCATTGGAGTAAACCATTACACCAGTAGCTTTGTATCTGCCACTGAACACAAGAGAATACATCCAGTACCATCTTTATACGACGATATTGATGTTGGGACTTACATACCACCGGAATGGCCCAAATCTGCGTCCCCGTGGTTAGTTGTAAGTAATACAATTAAAAATGCTTCACGCAATTTATATTCATATCATTGTAGCATTTTATTTTTATAGTTTTTAATTAAAATACCAGCAAATTTTTTAGCAAACACCTAACAGTCTTTACGATGCCTTGATAAATCTTCACGAGAGGTACAATGGTCCAATATTCTATATCATGGAGAACGGCTGGTCCTCATCTCCAGATGCTGATATCTTTGATGATGATAGAATTAGGTACTATCGTGCTGCGCTAAATGATGCTCTGAACGCCTTAGAAGATGGAGTGGATCTGCGAGGGTTTATGGCTTGGAGCTTGATGGACAATTTTGAATGGCTAGAGGGTTACGGGTGAGTACGATTAAACTTATAAAAATACATAATATCTCACTGTTTATCCATGATCTTCATACTTATGTAATCTTATCAACGTCATCCCATTTTATCTTATTATGTTGTTTTGTTATGTATAAGTGTTGATAATAATAGATAAATATAACATAATCCTTTTTATAGAACGAGATTCGGTCTGTACCGTGTCAACTTCTCGGACCCAGGTCGTGAGAGAACTCCTCGTAAGTCAGCCTTCGTGTACAAACAGATCATCAAGAGTCGAGTGATTGATGAGGAGTATGATCCTGAGACACTGGACATGACCATTGATTAAGGAAAATGAACAAGATATAACATTAACGTGATTGTAAACATACAAGAATTTATGTAAATATAATTGTTACACGATAAATTGTAACATTGTTTTTAATTTAATGATCCTTCTTAAAAATGTTTCTAACTTAGCTTATTGTCTGAAACTATTTGAGTGTTTGTTATATTTTATACAAATTACAAGATTATCAGATAATATATAAAACTTCATTTTAATTTGGTTATGGAGAGAGGAGCTTGGTCGATAGAGGGGAGGTTCTTTAACCCTATAGCTGGGCTGCAACTCCCAGGCTCTGTTGAAGCTCCTCACTCTGCAAGGCGATGGCCCCTATCTAACGTATGATGTCAAGACAATTTCCGATTACATCTCAACTCGTATGTTGAAATGGACATTGTATTGTAGTAACCTGCAGATGAATGGAACTTCAAAGATATCTCAAAACTCTTCTTATATAAATCATGTTAATTGTAGAGTACTTAATTAACATTTGCACTGTTCATTAATAATTTTCTGATCGTTTTTCTTTTTTAACCGAATTTACAAAAGGAGGTTATCAATTCGTCTGTATTTTTTTGTTTTTACGTTATAACTTTCAATAAAGCGAAGTGATATAATTTTTTTTAAACCTGGTGTTTCCCGTGTGGTCTTATTTCAATTTTAAACAATTGTATCTATATCACTGTTTTGCAGATAATAATTACTTAATTATTCAAATTATATCGAATTAACAACAATATAATATATTGTCTTTAGTTGGACACAATGTAGTCTGAAAAATGAAACTCCAAATTAAAGTATTATAGTTTACTAAGATTTATTACAACTGATCCTTTTGCGGCAAAGCGAGAAGAGCAAAAGACAATTTTTAGTAGGTACAGGTAATTGAAGAACATAAGAAATGAGAAATGACATTGTATAATTGTATATAGCAAACTCCTGATTAAAATAAATAGCAATACTGTGTCGTGCGTAAATGCGGTAAAATAAGACGAGGCTAAGTCCTGAACATATATTATATTTTATTATATGTACATACTGAAGTCTCACATTTCATATTATATACACAGACTGAAACTCGAAATCCCTGTATAGGGACTTCGAGTATGTCACCAGCCTCTTTTCTTTGTAGAATAAAAATAGATTAAACTTGACTTACAAGTTCACACAACAGGATACTGTAAGACGTAAAACTATAAAAATAGATAAAAATATCAATCAATCAAATATCACAATAAACTTTTTTTGGAAGGAGTTTATTAATAAGTCATTTACATTTGCTTAACTAAAACTACTTGACAGATGTCTGATACGTTCATTATATGTAGGATTATATATACCGACTTTAGAAGTTAGGGATTTATATTTTATCTTTAGCAAACAGTACATTATATGTCAGAAATATTAGACAGCAAAAGGTAGTTAGGTAGATCTTTAAAATAATCTTCTATATATATAAAAATGGATTGCTGTTCCTTGGTCTCGCTAAAACTCGAGAACAGCTGAACGGATTTATCTTATCATAGTCTTGAAATGTTCGTGGAGGTTTAGGGAAGGTTTAAAAGCTGAAAAAAATTTATTAATTTCCGGGAAAACACTAAAAACAGCGCTTTTTTATTTCCCATACAAACGGTTTTTTGACATTAGATTTGACAACTAACTAATATGTCAATCATTTTGTCGCACTTCAGAACATTTTTCTTTAATATTTTCCATTCCAACAATGTGTTGCATTTATCTTCTGTCATTGTAAAAATGCCAATCATCGTTATAGAGACTTTTGTACTTATCTGCTACTAGCTTTTAGCGACTTCGTCCGCATTAATATCGGAATTAGTAATATATGTATAGCTGACCGGGTGAACTCTATTTCACCCTAGAATCTGTAAATAACCAGATATTGAAATTTGTTAAGTTTTTTCTTTTCGATCAAACAGAATAAAATATCCTAAGAAAGTCTCCTCGTTTTAAACTACATATTTTCCCACAAATTTCTTACCATATCCCTACAGCCGTTCTTGAGTTATAAATAGTGTAACTAACACGACATTCTTTTATATATATAGATTTAACTAAAGGACTTCTTTTATACAAATTACAATTTTATTTCTCTCTATATGTACAAAAAATTAAAACAAACGTAATTCTAAATCGTTTTTTCTAACTTTTCATGAGCAAATAAGAATTACTGAAGATTATTTTATTCATATGAAAAAAAAGGGATGTTTACCATTTTTGCTTGATAATATTGTTTTGATTCCCAAATGTTTTCATGAAATCTGTCATGAAAGATAAGTTTGTAGATCAGTTATCTAGATCGTGTTCGCCGTAGGAGTGATGATGAGTGTATATAAGACATGTTCAGTACATAACAACAGCAGGTCTGGCTTGAGCGAGGCGGATCATCAGACGCTATGAGAATACTACTGTTCGTAGGGTACGTAGTATATGTTATATGTTGGAGAGACTTACACTGATACTATACATGTTAATACATCGCTTATAATATTAAACGACATTGCTTTCTTTTATATTAATTATATTGCATATAGTGAAACAGTACATACTATTAAGTTTTGAGTAAAATTTGAGATATTTAGATTTCAAATTTGAAAATTCAATACAATTTATAAATCACCAGTTATTAAAGTCATTAGAAGTTTATCATCCCCAGTTTAAAACATATTTTCATTGTTTAAAAATTAGTAATTTTTCAATTTTAATATTATTTATAACTTTACTTTTCTTAATGCTAACCCAACGTAATGAAGATATATATGTATAATGTTAATAAAATAAAAACAAAAAAAATTATAAGTGGGGTAGCTTTTTAAACTCAATTATACCGTCTTATACAAGGCTAAGTCACCTAATAGCGATATTTATTGTTCTACCCTCATTTCTTCCATACATTGACATTTCAGAAAATTTAGACATATCAATTTTGACACATAAATATAAGAAATGTCGGTAAGTCGAGCTGAAACACTGTGATAGTTTAATAAATATTTTTAGAAAAGACAGAACATGGGTTTACGAAAGAAATGAAATCTTATTCACCATTGTTGTATCCTTTTTTTTGTAATGAATATTGTATAATTAATTTTGTGAACTAAATTTAAAGGTACTGTTTAATAAAACACTACTCTTTGTAACATTAACGAATCTTGTCCAGGTTGTTGATTGGCAGCAATGCTCAGGAGAGGAGGTTCCCAGATGACTTCCTGTTTGGAACCGCTACAGCCTCTTATCAAATAGAGGGGGGGTGGAATGCTGATGGTAACTACGATAATTGCGTAATATCTTACAGACACCAAGTCAAATTTAACATTATGTAATTGTTTAAAATAACAAGTACATACATAATAAAGATCGGAATATAGTAAGCACATAGTATTTATTTGTGGTTTTCTATATATTGTAAATTTTATTTTAGATAAAGGGGAAAATATATGGGATCGCATGACCCACACCAAACCCAACGTAATCAAAGATGTGAGCAACGGTGATGTAGCAGCCGATACATACAATAACTACAAACGAGATGTGGAGATGATGAGAGAGTTGGGTCTAGACGCTTACAGGTTCTCTCTCTCCTGGGCTAGAATACTACCCAATGGACTGGCCAACAAAGTCAGTGATGCCGGAGTTGAGTTTTACAACAACTATATAGATGAAATGATTAAATACGGTATAACGCCCATGGTCACTCTGTACCACTGGGACTTGCCACAGAAGTTGCAAGATTTAGGAGGATTCGTGAATCCTATGTTCCCCGAGTGGTTCGAAGATTACGCCCGGGTGGTGTTTGAAAAGTTTGGAGACAGGGTCAAGCACTGGATTACTTTCAATGAACCTAGAGAGATCTGTTACCAAGGCTATGGTTCAACAACCAAGGCTCCTATCCTAAACGCAACCGACGTCGGTACATATTACTGTGCCAAAAATCTGGTAATGGGTCACGCTAAAGCCTATTACGCATATGTCAACGACTTCAAGCCTAGCCAAGAAGGTGTCTGTGGTATCACAATAAGTGTGAACTGGTTCGGGCCGTTGACGGATTCCGAGGAAGATCAATTAGCTGCTGAAATGAAGAGACAAGCAGATGTAAGATATATGCAATGATGTATTAAATTTGATGGTGAGAGTAGGTTACTTATTTATTTGTATAATTTTTTTCAGTGGGGGCTCTACGCTGAACCTATTTTCTCTGAAAAGGGCGGTTTCCCTAAGGAATTAGCCGAAGTCGTGGCCAAAAAAAGCGCCGAGCAAGGTTATCCTCGCTCACGTATGCCAGAATTCTCTGATGAGGAGAAGAATTTCGTAAAAGGCACTGCTGATTTCTTTGGAGTAAATCATTACACAAGCGGCCTTGTATCTGCGTCTGAATATAAGGCTAGCCACCCAGTACCGTCAATGTATGATGATATTGACGTAGGAAGTTATACTCCCCCGGAGTGGCCGACATCTGCTTCTTCTTGGTTATATGTAAGTACCGAATTAAAATGTCGCATTTTAGTAAAAAAAGCAATAAATGATAATAAACTGTCTTCCAGTACAAGATAATAGACTTATAGATAATATATATTATGTGTTTATTTATTTGTGACTCAGGAACAAATTCAACTTTTCCTTTATCTTTATTTTTGTTGATGGATAGTTTTATTTTATTGTAATCACGGGTTCTATTGTAAGACTATCTACATTCAGCGAGGTATTAATCTTAATTTTTTTCTAACAGTTAGCACCAAACAGCATATACAATGCCCTGACACATCTTCACAAGAAGTACAACGGTCCAGTGTTCTACATCACGGAGAACGGCTGGTCCTCGTCTCCAGAAGCCGATATCCTTGATGATGATAGGATCAGATACTACCGAGCGGCTCTGAACAGTGTGCTGGACACCTTGGAGGCTGGAGTGGACCTGCGAGGGTACATGGCGTGGAGTCTGATGGACAACTTTGAATGGATGGAGGGTTACACGTAAGATTTATCTATACATACTTATAATGTTACTTTTTCCTTGTCATATGTACTTTCTAAGAGTAATTAGACACCACTGACAGATGGTGAAGGAAAACATAGTGAAGAAACCTGGACTTAAAATTTCAGAATTATAAGTTTGAAATCACCAACTCCTCTTGAGCAAGCGTGGTGGTTAGTGCTCAAACCTTCTCCATGAGAGAAAGAGGCCTTTGCTCAGCAGTGGGCTCTGATAGGTTAAAAAAGGAGATAATATGTTATCATTGGTCACTTGGTGAGATAGATAACATTATTTGATAAGAACAACCTTTTAGACCGATGTAAAAACTCGTATACGACATGATAAGTATTGGATTACGTCGATAGAAAATAATAGTAGATTGTTATATAACTGCTGTCAAAGATTATTATCAGATATACTCTAGCTGGTGGTATTTTTTTTCCTGCATTTTTTATATAGATTATATTTATATTTTATCAAATAGCAAATAGATTTGACTTAAGACGTTTTTGGTGATCTTCCCTTTCCGTTTAAAAAGTTACGGTATATTTTCATTAGGAGTAAAGGTCAATTCATTTCTATATAAATTATTGTTCCAGGGAACGTTTCGGTCTATACCGTGTCAACTTCTCGGACCCAGGTCGTGAGAGAACTCCTCGTAAGTCAGCCTTCGTGTACAAACAGATCATCAAGAGTCGTGTGATTGATGAAGAGTATGAACCTGACACACTGGACATGACCATTGATGAAGGAAAATAATCTTTATACACAGACTGATACAATATTTATTTTGAACTAACTGACCCGGCAGACTTCGTATTGCCTCAATTAAGTAATAAATAATGTCTTATTTATTTTTTTGGAGTTTACCTTTAAGCCATAATTGTCCGTGCTCTGAAGTGCGACAGAATGATTGACATATTAGAAAGTTGTCAAATCTAATGTCAAAAAAACGTTTGTATAGGAAATATAAAAATGGTGTTTTTAGGGTTTTCCCGGAAATTAATCAAATTTTTCAGCTTTTATACCTTTTCTGAACCTTCACAAACATTTCAAGACTAAGATAAGAGCCGTCCAGCCGTTCTTTTAGTTTTAGTGAGACTAACGAACAGCAATTCATTTTTATATAATATAGAGATAAAAGATAAATATTAAATATGCTTGCTTATTTGCTATTAGACAGAGATGCTATTTGTTAAAAATATTAATCATCATAATTATTAAGGAAGTTTTGATTGCTAAGTATATGCTATATCATAAAATTGTTTGAACCTTATATGGGACAACTTTTTGACCTTTCTTTCACCAATATTCCCATCCAACCTAGAAGCATTACGTCATTAATGAAAGAGGTTTTTCAAATTAAAATAACCCTTCTCTTCATTTTCCAGTCTTTAAGATTCTTTAAATAATAGATAATTTAAGATTAATTTATTCATAGTCTACATAATTCTAATAATCTTAAATCGTAATGTAATGTTAAGAAGGCTTTCTTTTTTTGGAGAAATTTAAAATTTTCAAGCCCTTTTTATGTCAAAGAGGGCAAATGAATAGACGGCCTACCTAATATATTTATTTATTAAATGCACAAATCTAAGATTTCAGTCATAAGATCCTAGTTTCAATATCATGGTTCAACTATTAGGACTACTTCATCTGCGCAACACACTTCCTCCTATTTTTAATATCGATTAAAAAGTCCTGCGACTTTTGCAAGTTTTACTGGAAAACATAAATATTTATTCATCAATATTATTACTTTAGGAACAACCGATATATGAAATATTTATCTGTTTACGTTAAGTCTTGTACATAAGTACTTTTGAAAATACTGTTATCATGATTAAAGCGAGGAGTTTTAAAAGCATGTACAGATATTATTATAACAATATCAAAAATAAAACGAACCTCAAGAAAAAGTTTTTCTAAATTAAAATTAAAATCTACATATATAGATAAGAGACAACTATTACTTAATGAGATCTAAGACTTTCGCGAGTATTCATTTAAATAAAACTAATATTTTCAGATTACTACTAGATTTATTATTTTAACTACACACACCAGACGTTTGGGATATTTTGTAGTAACCGTGATCACGGACAGACGAGATGGAAAATGATTTTATTATTACCTTATTTACTGTCATCATCAGCCTATCAGAGCCCACTGCTGAGCTGCCTCTTCTCACATGGAGTAGGTTTGAGCATTAACCACCACGCTTGCTAAACGGGTTGATGATTTCAAACTTATTATTGTGAAATAATAAGTCCAGGTTTCCTCACGAAGTTTTCCTTCACCGTCTGTCAGTGATGTCTCAATACTCTTAGAAAGTACATATGATTCGAAAAATCACATTGGTGCTTACCAGGTATCGAATCTCGTGCATGAGAGACGGGCCCTATATACCCCTTGACCACCACGACTTTCAACAGATAAAAAGTAAAGAAATTACTAATTACATTATTTGAAATCAAATAGAAAACAGTCGTATTTAGTGTTAAAAAATCGAAATTAACAAAAACTTCTTGTATGTTTTTTTGTATAAGTATGAAAAGATTAACTGTAGACTTTTTTTTTACAAATCCCTACTAATATTATAAATGCAAAAGTAACTCTGTCTATCTGTCTGATACGCTTTCACGCCTAAACCACTGAACTGTTTTTAATGAAATTTGGTACAGAGATATAGTTGACCTTGAGAAAGAACATAGGATAGTTTTTATCCCAGACTTTTGAAAGGTTCTCTTGGAAACGCGATATAACCGAACTCCACGCAGGCGAAGCTGCGGGCGGAAAGCTATATTATATAAATTATGTATTAGGTACAAAAAAAATATATTTAATCGTTTTTCATGATTTTCTCAGCTAGTCTTTTAAAAGCTAAGTAATGAAATGCTTTTCAATCATCACAATTTATACATTCCTCTTTAAGATTCATTCTGTATGTTCCTAATTATTATATATGATATGTAATATTATATAATATTTATATTATAACATATAATGATGTAACTATATCCTCAGTATTTTTTTCCAAAAAAATACTTTGACATATAATATACTATGTTCAATCAGAATTACTTAAAATTCAACATCGCTATGATAGCGCCGAACGTATATTGTGAGCTCAGATCTAAAAAATATGTAATAGTATATAATAATAAATAGTATATAAATTGTACCGTTAAATATGGTTAAACATATAATATTTTAGGTTTAAAGAATTTATTCTCAAAAAGACAGTCACTTACATGAGAACATACATACAAAAGTGAAAATACAAAAGTAGTCGCCAGATTAGTTGGAATTCAATTAAAGATAGTAAGATATTATTACAAGTGTGTTAGTTCGTTGGTATATCAATTATTAGATTAAGGGAAAGAATTAAGTCTAGCAAAAATTATAATTCATATTAAAACAAGGTTTACGATAAAAAAAAATCATATTTAGATGGTGATCAAACCACAAGACCAGAGCCGGTTTTAACTTTTAATAATATAATTTTGAGATTCGATAATTTTACAGCTTGACGTGGGGCTTTGTAATAACTTGTTTCGTTTAAAAATACACTCTGCGCCCCAACCCAGTCATAAATGAACCTTTTATTTTAGAATCTTGACCAAAAATAAAAATAAAAATCCTTCTCAATCCTAAAATATTTTTAAAGGAACTTATCAACAATAGCATTGATTTGAAATGAAATTTAAGAACTAAAAAAAAATTAAGATAAGGGTTTAAAAATCTTCTTCTGAAACCATAAAACCAATTAAAGAAATTGTTGACAAAAAAATAATAATTAAAGAATTTATAAGAACAAAATAAAACACCAAAAGTCAGTGGTGGCTTAGTGGTTAAAAGGCCCGCCTCTCATGAATGAGGGCGCGGGTTCGAACCTGACCCGGGCAAGTACCAATGTGATTTTTCCCGAGTCATATGTACTTTCTAAGAGTATTTAGACATCACTGATTAATGCTTTCCCAAAAGAGGGTTGATGTTAGGCAGGCGGCCGGTCGTAAAAACAATTAGCCAAAACTATTCTCAACATGTAAGGCAGACCCTGGCTAAAGCTGGGAAATTACAAGGTAGAAGAAGGAGAAAATAAAACAGCAAAAAATATGCTTGATATTATATGCCACGCCTTTTTGGATAGAATAGTTATTAATTTAAATCTATATTATTATTATGATCTGCACAGCTTCCTCTAAGATTACTTATCACATCGTTTTGAAAAACAATGCTTTTCTAGTAATTTTCTTTTTAATTTCGTATAACAAATTTTATTTTAATTCATATGTCTAAAGCATAAACAACTAAAAAAATATTATTTTTCTTAGACAATATTTTAGTAGACATGTGATTAATTTGCTAACTTTACTTATTCAAACTTTCTCCTAGAATTTTTAATAGTTTTTTAATATTATCTTATTGTCATTTTTAAGTCGAAAACTGTTTTTTTCATACATTTGTTGATGTGAACCTATATTATTAACCTTATAAATATTAACACGAAGCTGGTAACATTTCTGAATTGCAGATTACAATGTCTGGTCTCTATAATAATATAGTCTATGCCGAGACTTGACGGGTGTGGGTCGACAGCAAATGAGCGATAAATCTATTGAATTACTCATCACGATAAAATGCATTGTTATTAAATGAAAACAAGTTTATATTTGTATTAATAATTAAAAACTGTCTTATATCTTGCTGTTAGTGTTATCAATACGAAAATGCATCGTCGTCGGGGTCCCAATTTTACATATGTCAGCGGTTGTGTAAAATATATGATTTTTGTTTTGAATTTTGTATTCTGGGTAAGTGTTAAAATGATTCATAACGATTTCTAACAATGAAAAAGTTTTTACCGCATCCATTGTTTGGTGTGAATTCTATTTTCTAATTGTGCGACCATTGTTCGAAATGATGAGAGATATGTATAAACGTAACTATCATTGAACAGTTTCCGCTGTTATCACAAGTCAGGAGTAATTTGACTGAATAATATTGTAAATAACATACGTAATAAAAAATATACTTTTATTTTTACTGTATATACTGAGTAATAAAGAAATATTTTAATGATACATTTTATATTTTCGGAACATATGTGTCATACGAAGATAGTAATTCACGAAAATATATTAATATTTTTAATGAAGTATGGAATCATATATCTAATATATATAAATATTCAAAGACATAATTGTGACATCCCATAATATTAGCATGAGAATAATAACAAAATTTTAACTTTTCAAAACAATCAAATTATTTTGACCAATTTTCTTCTATTGATGTCCATTGAAACTCTCAATTATATATACATATATATATATTGTATTTAGAAAACAAATATTTTAAATCAACATTCACAATATATTTCTTTGTGTCATGTTTAATTTAGTTTTTTAAACTCACCTTTATATAACTTGTTACTTCCTGTTCATCATAATAGTCTTATTAAGGCAGACCACAGTTTGTAAACTTATAAGTAACTGTAATTAAAATAATTTTATGGAGGGTCTTTTGTTGGTCGACTTTAAATAAATTAATTGTGGTAAATAGTCTTATAATTATTTGAATTGAAGAGACATATTGCTCTATACAGAATTTCATTTCATTTTTTGTTTCTTTTAAGAATATGGTCCTTGCTCTAATATGATATAAGTATGTATAAAAGAAAACATACATATATATGTATATGTGTGCATTGAATAAAACATAGTAACCATGATATTATGTTTATTTAAATATCTTGGTTATAATAATATCAATAAATTTTAAACTGAAATATATGACATTAAAACTCATGTCAACAAAACATGACTAATATACAATTAATAAAGATTTCAATAAACAAAAATCGTTTGTAAGAATAATCTTGAATATCAATAAATTTATCATTTTTGGTTATATATAGATAATTTTGTAGAAGTACCAAATAATGATTTCTTTTAAATGAAACTAATATTTTCAGATTACTGTATGTTATTTTATGATTTTTCAAAACTACATACTCCCTTCATTTCAATTACATTGCAGCAACTCTGATCACAGTTCATTTAAATGAATATTTGTGAAAGTCTAAAATTTCATTATGATTTCTCTTAGTTAAATAAAAAAAAGTTAAAATTATATATTGAAAGGGTGTCAATATTTTTGTTAGATTATCTGTTTTAAATTCTAGTAAAAAAAGTTGTTCTGCCAGAAAATGATAAAAGGTTTACAATTAGTACATTGTCTATTCAGAACTATATTTATGAACTATTAGAAAAAAACTTGCATAATATTGATACCATTATATAAATAATATTGTTTTATATAGTAACATGTAACATTTAACAACTATGATTAATTTTAAAAGTATTAGCAGTTCTTATTATAGTTTTATTTTTATTATTTATATATGAAAAATATGATTATGGAATATAAAATATTACAAATATTTTCAGTTGTTCGGAGGTTTACTAATCGGAGTTGGGCTTTATGCATTCATCGACAAATGGCAGGCCATGGGTCAAGTGAAGGTAATACATATTATGTTAAAATAGTAGAATGATTATAATTTATAAGAATAACTATAGAGATACAATTCTTGCTTGCAAAGTAATAATAATTAGAATGTAATATTAATGAATGAATTATTGTTGTGGAATTGATAGGAGAACATGAAAATATAACATTTTTTTGCACTCTTACGATTGTTATGAAAGAAAGTGTAAATAATTGTTACTTACTTTGTATCTTGACAATTTTCTTTCAAAATATCACACATTGTGTTGCAAATATGTTTGTAAGTCCATTTTAATACATAAACGGTTTGTAACTATGACATTGTAGTAACATTAAAAATGTGTTTTATAAATTTATATTACTGGCTTTCCGCCCGCAGCTTCGCCTGCGTGGAGTTCGGTTATATCGCGTTTCCAAGAGAACCTTTCAAAAGTCTGGGATAAAAACTATCCTATGTTCTTTCTCAAGGTCAACTCTATCTCTGTGCCAAATTTCATTAAAATCAGTTCAGTGGTTTAGGCGTGAAAGCTTAACAGACAGACAGACAGAGTTACTGTCGCATTCATAATATTAGTAGGGATTTTATTCTGCAAAGAGAATAAATATATAATTAATTATTTTTCAGCTAGAGACAGTATATGATGTACTTCTAAACATCAGTCTACTAATAGCTCTGTTAGGAGGTATTGTGTTCATCGTCAGTTTTGCCGGCTGCATTGGTGCTTTGAGAGAAAATACATGTCTATTGAAATTCGTAAGTGTTAAATAAGTAATAATTATTAAACATTCACTGTAAAAAATATATATGCTATACAATATAGGTGTATGTAGTATATGTCTTCTAATAATTAAAAAAAAGAGGAGGTCTATGTTAAAATACAGGGAAAAAGAATTAAAAAGTACAATTGCATATAAAACTATGTTGCTAAATCCTACATATTTTTGTAATACTAATATATCCAGTAATATATAGTTTATGTGCTACATTGGCATTATGTATTTTGCATATTTTGTTTCATATAAAAGTAATTTCAGAACCATAGTTAATTGACTAATCTTTTAAATGTCAAATGACCTGTCATCTGTGACACCTGACACATGACACCTGTCGTCTTTGACATATTTCTAATGTATTTTATGTTGTTAACAGTATTCGCTGTGTCTACTAGTGCTGTTTCTATTTGAAATGGGTTCAGCTGTGTGTGGGTTTGTGTTCCCGCGTTCGCTGCACGGACTATTCGAACTTGGCTTCACGGACCGAGTAGTACATTCATATAGAGATGATCCCGACTTACAGAACTTTATTGACTTTGCACAAAAAGATGTGAGTTTGATAATAATTGTTATTTTTTATTCATATTTACGTTAACTAGTTCATTTATTTATAACTAGAAGACCCGGCGAACTTCGTATCGCCCTATAATCAAGAAATATCTGTTACGTTTTTTTATTTATATTTTTGGAGTTTACCTGTTAAAGCCTTAAATCTCCGTGTTTTGAAGTGCGACAGAATGATTGACATATTAGTGAGTTGTCCAATCTAATGTCAAAAAAAAAACGTTTGTATCAACAACTACTAATAAATTAAAAATTAATTAAAAAACATTGTCCAGCGCACAAAATTGTGAATCTAAACCATTCTCAGATCCCCTTGAACAGAAAAAATTTCATCAAAATCGGTCCAGTCGTTTGAGAGAAGTTCAGTGACATACACACTCACAGAAGAATTATATATATAAAGATTATACCTGGACCTTACACCATTTCTTAAATTAATACTTTACCAACAATTATTATTATTAATGGGACCTCAGTTGAGAAAAATAAGTGATTTTAATGAACAAAGAGTGCTTTATGCTACATGTAGGACTATACATATTTGTATATTAATAAGGCTTTAACACTGTTTTGAATACAGAAACAATTGGCTATGAGAGAAATAAAATATGTACAAATAATTCCCCTCCCCCCTCTCTTGCCCCTGAAATTATATATTAAACATATATCTGTCTCTTTCTATCTTCATTAATCCACTCTATTTATTATTTCTATCTCACTCTCAACTTAATTTCACATTATCCTAGCATCTTTATCTCATCTTCCCAAGATTTAATTCCTAAGATGTGTGTTTCAAGAGTTTCTTGTCAAATATAATGATCATTAAAATATTGTTCATCAGTAGTCTTGTAGAATAGTATTAATTATTCCTTATATTTCAAGATAATTTTTCCATATATGTATTTCAAAATTATGTATTATTTTCATTAACAATTTGTATTATTTTTAATAGAGTCATTGTTACTTGAATTAATGAAATAAATAAATAAAAATTATTTTTTCATATATTTCAAGACTATTTTTCCATATATTTCAAGTCTATTTTTCCATATATTTCAATACTATTTTCCATACATTTTAAGACTATTTCCATATATTTCAGTTCCACTGCTGCGGTCTCACATCGGATGGTTACATGGACTGGTCGAAGAACGAATATTACAACTGTACTTCACCTTCAGTTGAGAGGTGTGGGGTTCCATTCTCGTGTTGCATCAACGCTACAGACATAAGTTCAGGATTAGTCAACATCATGTGTGGTTATGGTGTGCAGAATTATCCAGTGGGTTAATTGATTATTTGGCTTAGAAAAGATTTGTTTATGCTATGCTAGTGATTTACATATTCGAATTTGGTTAATGAAGTGTTGTGTTAGATAAAGTTGTAACTAATTAGCGACATCTACATTATGACGTGCCGTAATACTACACGAAAATCCGGCATAAATTAATGGCTATATCTTATTGTGATGCCTAAGCTATATGATTACAAAATTTCTTCAAAATCGGTTTAGTAATTTATGCGTTAAGGGAGCGTTCAAGATTTTCAATTTTCAAAGATTTTTGAGTCCCCTTCCCCACTCGTAACGCACAGTAACGTGTTTCTGTAGCCCCCCCCCCTTCTCAAAACGTTACGTAACACTCAAGTGATCAATTTCATCCAAAGTCGTAAAACAATATGTAATAGTTTGGAATAGTTTTAATCTATTAAATGAAAAAACATCATTGACACAAATCTCCCTCTTCTGAAGAAATTACAGTATAAACACTATACAGGATAAACACTAACGAATACTGACCGTTGCGTTACGTAATACTTGAACGCTCACTAAAGAGCCATAAACACCTGTCAACAAACAAGTAAGCCCATATCATCAAGTGTGGCTATTATTGCTACTTCATCTTCTGTGAAGGTGTTATAATCTGTTAACTATACACTCACATGTGAATAAATGTATGGCATAATTAAAAACTGCATGCAAACTGTTGAAACTATATCTGTCTCTTACACACTCTTGTAATGTTATCAGTAAGAACGAGATAGCTATTGTATTGAATTAATTAATTAAGTCGTTTGAAAGAAATTTTCCTGCAAAAAAAAATAATTAATAATTTGTATAATAACTTCTGATACATAAAAATATAAACACACTTAATTAGGGAATAAACATGCAATTATTTACATCCATGTAAAGATATTATGATAATTCAAATTTAAACATATTTATTTTAGCCACTTGACTTATCAAATACATTATCTCTGATTACACTACAAGAAAATAATTAAGAAATTATTATCATCTGTCTCACTTGCATAATTCAATAAGGTCAACTAAAAATACAGTACACAGATCGAATTAACGAATTCTTAATTCTTAGTTAACGAATTCTTAATTCTCAGTTAACAAATTCTAAATATTATTCCAGGTTGCCGAAGCTAGTAAACGTGTGTGGACTAGCGGTTGTATAGAGATAGTCCGTTCATGGGCTGAAAGGAATCTTTATACTATAGCTTCTGTGGCTTTAGGTGTGGCGTTGTCACAACTATTTGTTATTTACTTGGCTAAGACACTGGAGGGACAGATTGAACTGCAAAAGGCTAGGTGAGGATATATGGAATGTATGGAGCGTATAGTCCAAAGGATGTATATGTCCTATGGACTATATAGCTTTTGGATTTATATAATTTGCTTGTCTAGTAAATTTTAAACTACTTTAAGACCCTCATTTTAATGCTTTTTTTTAATTTTGTCTATATTACACTAGCTTTCCGCCCGCAACTTAGCCCGCGTGGAGTTCGGTTTTATCGCGTTTCCAAGAGAACCTTTCAAAGGTCTGGGATAAAAACTATCCTATGTTCTTTCGCAAGGTCAACTCTATGTCTGTACCAAATTTCACTAAAATCAGTTCAGTGGTTCAGGCATGAAAGCGTAACAGACAGACAGACAGTGTTACTTTCGCATTTATAATATTAGTAAGGATTTTGTCTATATATTATTAAGTCAAAATTTTCCCACTTTTTAATTCATTTTTTTAAATTTCACTCCACTACTCTATGTCATGCACAATTGTTTGGATGCCAACAGTTTATGCAGAGATTTCTTTGTTTACTTCTTTTACTTATGATTCAATTGTTTAAATGATTATACTCCTGAATTTTTATCACAGTTTAACAAATTATTTTAAGGTTTTATTTTAAAATCAGTGACTATTTACTCACTATTTCATGTTACATTTTATTTCATGCTAAATTGGAGACAAGTATCTCAGTTTGTATTAAAATTTCGTTAATTTTGTAATTACTACTTTTTGCAGTAACTTTGTCCACTTGGACAATGCAATTGGACTGAGATAAAATTTATGTTAATACAATAAATATGACAACTTATCAGTAGTGATATTTTCATAGGTTTCATTTACATTATCATATGACTGCATATTAAATACAGTAGGTCATGCTATCGACAAATACGGGCAGGAAGGGAAGCCGGGGAGTTTTAGTGGGTATTCCCAGGGCCAACAACATCAGGCTCTGGGCGACCCCCACACAAGTCCCACTGTCGAGCCAGGGCAGTGGGTAGTCTGTAAGCGGATTTCTCCCCAAAAAAAAAAAAAAAAAAAAAAAAAAAAAAAAAAAAAAAAAAAAAAAAAAGGTCATGCTATCGAATTACATTAATCATATATTCTGATGTCTAAGTCACATCATATACAAACTTCAGTCTGTTAGAAATTTGTGAATGTAAGAGCAAAATAAGTCCATACAAGCTCACAAACATTAGCATTTATTATAAATATCATCAAAATCAGTGTAGTTTTCTTACAATATATCTACTACTGGCTAGAGCTGGGAAGTTGCCAGGAAGAAGAAGATATTTACTACTATATACAACATCCTAGCCGTTTGTATATATATATCCTATATTGTTATTATTTCTTACAGATGGCAAACATGAAATAGGGGTTCAGCGGGCGCGTACCGGGACGAGTGTCGGCGGGCGCTGCTGTAGCCCTTCCCCCACCACGCCGGCCCGCACCTCATGCATATATAAGGTGGTGCGGCCGGTGAATACATTCAGTCGGTGTCGCGACTCCGCTGCAAGAACTACTGCTATAATGAAGTGTACAGTGATGTGACAAATATTACAGCCATATATATGTGTGTGTGTGTGTGTTAAGTGTGAGTTTGTTTGTAATAAACTCAGATAGATTTAATTCCCAAAGAGGGTTGATGTCGGGCAGGCTTCCGGTCGTAAAAACAATTTGCCAAAACTATTCGCAACATGTAAGGCAGACCCTGGATAAAGCTGGGAAATTGCCAGGAAGAAGAAGATACTCAGATAAATTTAATTTCTTTATACTTTCCATAAGTTTAAATGAAATAATTGTGTATTAAACTAGATGTGTAATGAAATTTAAATAATTATGTATGTAATTATGAATTTGCTTCCAAGTCCAAAACGTTATGGATAATTCATAATTACATAATGACATTCAGCAAATAAACTATCAAACTGTCTGTATTTAAGTTAATGATGCAAACTCACACTAAAAACACCATATACTTACTGTGCAAGTGATAGTACTGTGTGTGAAATTATGTGCTTATAATGTGCAATGTTCAGTCTATGTGTGATATGAAGCTACATTTGATGAATCACAAACTGTGCTTTCTGTGCTATGAGACCAAAACATAGTATATATAATATTACAATCTTATGTATGGTTAAAATTTATTTTAAGGTGCATTTAGTCATATAGCTTTAAGTGTAAATATATTTTGTTTTAGTCAATTTGATGTAGGTCCCTTATTATTTTTTATTATTAGTAGCAAGTAATGCCACAATATAACATCTGATATATGATATTATAATTTATACATTGTAATTTCATTAGTATGGTATTGCTATAGTTACTCTTTGCCGAATTCTTGTAAGGCATTTTAAACCTTATAGTTATTAACTTCAGGTGTAAATCGGCTTGGTGCCATAAGACTGAAGATATTTAAGATATAATATGAGAATGTATCTTATCTTAATAAAAAACAAGTTTTCTTATATAATTACCACTTACTAACAGATAGGATTTAGTTAATAATATTCCATGATTTTAATTTTAAGTGTTCGCCGATAGATGGCGCTTACACTGAAATACAATACAATTGCATTTAACCAATTTTGCTTATGAATCTCGTTAATTTGTACAAACAAAACATCTTTATATATGTATTATAAAATGTTCAAAACTCAAATATTGATAAAAAAAATAGTTTAAGAAAATCACTGCCAGAGTATTAGATACATGAGAATAGTTGTAAAATGCTTTTAATATGAAAAAAAAAACATTTTATTTATATAAAAGATTTGAAAATCGCTAGAATAATATTTTTACTTTCAGACTAGTCTTAACCTCAACTTGTTATTTATGTCAAGTTAATATTGCCAAAAATTTGTCTCCAACAACGTTAATACTTGTCAATTTTCTGGTTTTTAAGCCCAAAACTATGTTTTTTCCCAAATATTCGTTAAATCACATACAAATTAGACAAATTATACTAGATATTTACATTTTGCGTTTTCTACAGCTATTTTCACATACAGAATAAAAGTTTAGATACATTAAAATTACAATTAAGGAAAAATAATAAATAATCACATGTTTCTTGTGCAATATTAAACCCAGACTAATATTTGACCAGAACCACAATGTATAACTGGCTTTATGAATTAATTAGTATATAGTTAATAATGAATTACCAATTTACAAATAGTTTTTGAAATACTTAAATTTAATCTCTATCATAATACAATATTTAAGTTTTCTTTCATTCATACAAGTGAACATTGCCGTTTTATTATATGTTTAGGCATTATATTTCGATGTGAAAACATTCCAGTCGTTTTGCTATAAATGTTTTTAACTAAAGATATTAATTAAAATTCACATATAGAATGAAAATTATCACCACAAAGAAGTATGTAATCTAAAAATTTCTTTAACAAAGAAATTGAATTTTCAGTTCAATGACCTTTTCGTTTTGAATTATGTATTTTTTAATCCAAGCAATCAAGTTTTCCAGTCAATAATCACTAAACTAATTTAAACTATTGCCAAATTATTACAAAAATATAATTTGATTCAATAATAATTGAATTTTGCTCAAATAGTCTTTTTTTTATTAAATTTATTATTATAATTTATTAGTCGAATTGTACATGAAAAAATGACATTATATACTGATGTTAGTTATTTAAGATGAAGCTGAATTAATGGATTGTTTTTTAATATTGTGTTTGTATCAAAATCTTATTATGAACAGCGCCATCTGTTGGCGTTTTCATTTCAAATATATTCTTCATCAAACAATCTATTGCCAAATATGGTAATTTTTTAATAAAATGAATTTTAGCTGTTAATTATATTATCCATAATTTTTTTATCTCAACTCTCATAATAATAGAGTGAAGAATAAAAATTAAATGCCTTTTCCAAACAAAAAAATAATTAAAATGACTGATTATTTCTTCCACTTAATATTAATGGGAACTCATACTATTATAAAGTAGCAAGTCGATGTTTTCGTATTAATTCATTCCATTAATTTTATAAACGGCTGTTATTAAACGGACATTAAAATTTGAGTTTTTATATAAAGCCGGTAATTTTAATTTATATTCAACAAGTTTGATATAGCCCATTACTTGTTAATGACTAGTTTAGCACAACTCCGTATGTTATATACTTATTGTAACTTAAATGTAATAAATATGATTTGTAATCTGTTATTTGTTTTATTTTAATATATTTTACATGTCTAATATTTGAAAAATACAAGGGGATTTCTTAATCGAGATAGTCTTTAGAGCGTTTGTAATTAAATATATTATTTTCAACGAAACAGAATTAGTGAAAAGTATTGGTTTAAAATATTATGATATTTATATTTATATATTATGATACTTAGTATTTTCCTCTAATTATGTTGTATTTTGTGACATTGAATAGAAATCTTGAAATAGTCCAAATAATTTTTAAAACATGTACCGAGCCCAAAAGAAGACTTCTAAATATCATTCCTTTAAAGAGATTTATTTATCAAAAAACTATTAAATTGTCGATATACAATAAAACAACACTCATAATTCAAAAATGTAGCCAAATCTTTATTTTAAGATACCGAGCACATTTTCTTGAAATAAGTAAAAAGTTACTTACAAATATCAATCGTAATATCCTTTACTTCATCAAATAGATATACTAAGATGTTAAAGAATCTCTCATCATTTCTTCCCCTTCTTCTTGCCTTTCACTTCCGGTTCTGGCTCGGGTTCTGGCTCGACGGCAGGTGGGGGCCAGTACTTATCGAAGAACTGTTCATCAGCTGCGAAGGCTAGCGGCAGGATGTGGGACTTCCGGTGCCAGGACTCACGAGCCTGCTCCTCTAAAGCCTCCTGCTCACGCTCGTCTCTGGCGCGAAGCTGGGAGTCAAATATATATACATATATATAACTCTTTTAACCGACTAAAAAGAGAGGGTAATATATGGAACCATTGTTGCTGTCAAGCGACTGAAAAAGGCGTCGTCGTCATCAGCCTATCAGAGCCCACTGCTGAGCCTCTTCTCACATGGAGAAGGTTTGAGCATTAATCACCACGCTTGCTTAACGGGTTGGTGGTTTCAAACTTATAATTGTGAAACTATAAGTCCATGTTTCCTCACGATGTTTTCCTTCACCGTATGTCTGTGGTGTCTAAATACTCTCAGAAAGTACATATGACTCGGAAAAATCACATTGGTACTTGCCAGGTTTGAACCCGCGCCCTCGGCAACGAGAGGCGGACCCTTTAACCACTAGGCCACCACTGAAAAAGGCGTAATATATTCAAACGCTATATCTGAGTAAAAAAATATTTTTCAGTAATTATACTGTAGGAATGTTTGTAACTCGACAAATCTCTAAAACTTCTGTATTCACTCAATAGTTAATATCTATTTTAACTTTTAAGTAGTAATCTTCTTCTTCTATATATATAAAAATGGATTGCTGTTCCTTAGTCTCTAGTTCTTTAGGTGGTAGAGCCTAGCTGTAGCCAAATGATTGCAGCTCGAACTTGGGCTGGCTCGACCGGGGAAGTACCACCCTCCCACAGAAGGTCGGCGTAAAGTAGCCTTAGTGGCTGCGTTTCGTCTGATGAGTGGGAGAGCCGGTTGCCCTTTCCCTTTCCCCACCCTTCCCTCTCCCAGGATGCTGATGTGTCTGTTGACTCTCTGTCCTACATCTGTCGAAGTCTGTTTTGAGATGTTGAGCGTGTTTCATTGGCATGGGGTCCAGGGAGACCCGATGAAACGGTTTACCGCTGGCCGCCCGTTGGTCCGTAGGGGACCCGAACCTAGACTGTCCCGATCTAGGAGGCTGTCCCACCGCCAATGAAAAAAGCCCGTCGGTTGTTGACTGTGCCGGAGTGGGAGACCGGGGTGGAACCCAGTTAGCAACCGCGGGTCGGATCGGGGGCCCTTCCGTGCCCCATGCCAGTAACACACAAAACTCTACGCTCAATTCAGATCAATGGCAATGTTCTTTGACAGGATAGTTGATGGGCTATCAGCATCCTTCCTTCACTCCCACTCCCTGAACAAAAAAAAAAAAAAAACAAATATGGCTGTCAAAAAAAAAACTACTAAAGGTCTCTACAGCGGCGACCCCTTCCACGTTTGTAGTGGACTTTTGCAACATAAGGGGTATACACTCCAACCTTAATGCTGTCCATCACCACCTAGAGACGGCTAAGCCGGCCTTGTTATTTTTGACTGAAACACAAATATCTACTCCTCTAGATACCTCGTATCTGCATTACCCCGGTTACAGACTTGAGCACCTATTTCTACCGCGGGCCGGGGTGTGCTTATACGTCAAGGAAGATATTTGTTGTCAACGTCTTGACAGCCTCGAACATAGGGACCTATCAGTGATGTGGGTGCGAGTGGACAACGGTAGCTCAAGCCGTATCTACGCGTGCCTGTACAGGTCCCATAGTGGTAACACCGAAGTCGATCGTCTCTTTGGACACATCCAGGAGGCTACAGATTTTGTTCTCCAGCGGTATCCCAGCGCGGAGGTAGTGATCCTTGGCGACTTTAACGCCCACCATTGCGAATGGTTAGGATCACGTACCACAGACTACGCTGGTAAAACCGCAAATAACTTTGCTCTGGCTTATGGGTTAACTCAGGTAGTTCCAGAACACACTCGGATCCCTGATGTTGAGGACCATAATCCCTCTTTGTTGGACCTTCTGCTGACCACTCGCCCGGATTGCTACATGGTGTCCGTCAATGCACCCCTTGGGTCATCTGACCACTGCCTGGTGCACTCCGAGGCTCAGATAGTGCAAAAAACGACTCCTCGTCCACCAGGGAGATGTCTTGTATGGCACTACAAGTCGGCAGATTGGGATGGATTGCGAGAATATTACGCATCCTACCCCTGGAGGCAGCTTTGTTTTTCTTCGGAAGATCCTTCGATCTGCGCGAACGCCGTTGCGGATACTATTCTGCAGGGAATGGAATGTTTCATTCCCAGCTCTGTTATTCGCACGGGGGGTAAGTCGCGGCCCTGGTTTGATAAATCCTGTACAGGAGCGTTACGCTCGAAACAGTTGAAGTACCGATTATGGGCTGCGGCATCAGCTGCGAAGGATCCAAAAATATCCGAATTGAAAAAGGGTTATAATGCTGCTTCCAGGTCTTGCAAAAAGGAGATCGCCAGAGCAAAAAAGGAACTCGTTCTTTCTGGTCTCTCGCCAAAGCGGTACAAGGCAATTTTTGTAAGTCCTCTCTACCATCCTTGCACAATCCTGACGGGACGCTGGCTCATTCTGCAAAAGAGAAGGCTGACCTTCTGTGCACTCTTTTTGCGTCGAATTCGACCCTTGACGACGAGGGAAAAGCACCACCTACCATCCCACGGTGCCGAGAAACTATGCGCAATGTGCGTTTTACGCAGAGCGCTGTGCGTGCCGCCCTATCGTCCCTCGACGTCAAGAAATCCAGCGGCCCAGATGGTATCCCAGCCATTGTGCTTAAGATGTGTGCTCCTGAATTGACTTCGGTTTTAACGCGCCTATTCTCACTCTCTTATACTACTGGTAAAGTACCGTCTTCGTGGAAAGTGGCCAATGTTCACCCTATTCCCAAGAAGGGTGACAGCACAGATCCATCCAATTACAGGCCTATTGCGATTACTTCCCTACTCTCAAAGGTGATGGAGCGAATCATCAATACGCAACTTTTAGGCTATCTAGAGGATAACCAGCTTATTAGTGACCGTCACTATGGTTTTCGCCACCGTCGAAGCGCTGGTGATCTTCTAATATACCTCACGTATCGATGGGCTGAAGCCATTGAGAGCAAAGGGGAGGCCATGGCAGTCAGCCTAGATATCGCAAAGGCCTTTGATCGGGTCTGGCATCGCGCACTTCTATCGAAGCTTCCATCGTACGGACTACCCGAGGAATTATGCAACTGGATTGCCAGCTTCCTTCATGGGCGGAGCATACAGGTCGTTGTTGACGGTTCTTGCTCGGAACCCAAGCCCATCAACGCTGGCGTCCCACAAGGCTCTGTGCTATCACCAACACTGTTCATTCTGCATATCAACGATATGCTGCGAACCAGCAACATTCGGTGCTATGCGGATGACAGTACTGGTGACGCTTACTACATGGGCCGAGCTAATATTCCTCGTGAACAAGTAGAAGAGAGCAGAAAGAGACTTGTGTCTGAAATTGAGACCTCCCTGGAGCAGGTCTCCGAATGGGGTAAGCTGAACCTTGTTCAGTTCAACCCCAAGAAGACACAAGTTTGCGCGTTTACCACTAAAAAGACCCCATTTACTGTAGCTCCAACGTTCCAGGACATTCCCCTTAAGATTAAACAGAGCATTGGGATCCTTGGGGTTGACATAGCGAACGACGTTCAATTCCGGAGACATTTGGAGGACAAGGCTAAATTAGCGTCTAAAAAACTAGGGGTACTGAGTAGAGCGAGGCAGTACTTCACACCGGGACACTTGCTTTTATTATATAAAGCACAGGTTCGTCCCCACATGGAGTATTGTTCTCACCTCTGGTCCGGTGCCCCACAGTACCAACTTCTTCCACTTGACTCCATACAACATCGGGCAGTTCGCATTGTCAACGATCCCATGCTCACAGACGATCTAGAACCCTTAAGCCTCCGAAGGGAAGTAAGCTCCCTCTGTGTGTTCTATCGTCTGTACAATGGGGAATGTTCCGAGGAACTGTTTGATGTAGTGCCGTCTTCTACATTCCACCATCGCACTACTCGGCGTAGGGTTGGATTTCATCCACATCATCTGGATGCATTCAGTTGCAGGACTGTACGTGCGTCGCGTTCATTCTTTTCACGCACGTGCAGGATGTGGAATGATCTTCCGCCCGAGGCTTTTCCAGAGAGCTACAACATGGGGTCTTTCAAACATCACGTGTTCAGGTGGCTCCTTTCCAAACAAGGCCGGCAACGCATCTACAACACCCCTTGTGTTGCAGATGTCCATGGGCGACGGTAACCACTTACCATCAGGTGGGCCGTCCGCTCGCTTGCCCCTTTGGGCCATAAAAAAAAAAAAAAAAAGTCTCGCTAAAACTCGAGAACGGCTGAACCGATTTGGCTAATTTTAGTCTTGAAATATTCCTGGAAGTCCAGGGAAGGTTTAAAAGGTGAGAAAAATAGGAATAATTGCCGGGAAAACAATTAAAACAGTCGTTTTCTATTTCCCATGCAAACGTTTTTTTTGACATTAGATTTGACAACTAAGTAATATGTCAATCATTCTGTTTCATTGAAACAGGAAAAACCTGATAATTTATGGCCTCTAAGACGGAATAGAGTTCGCCTGGTCAGCTATACCTACATATATTACTCTTGACCAAACTAACGCGGACGAAGTCGCGGGCAAAAACTAGTAGAACATAAATTTTAGAATTCGTGTTTTCATCATCACTAACATCATCTCTACTAATCAAGTTTTATTTGCCAGACATAAGATTTTACGTATTTATTGTAAAACGATAATAATTTGGCTTTCGTCATAAATGGTGTTTTGGACTTAAACAGTGTATTTGGATATCAAAAACCTTTTACACTTTTCATAATAGTACCACACACTTTTCATCAAAGAATTCTCCTACAAAAATATCTCAAATACAGTCTTACTATTTTGTTACTGTAGTAATTTTGTCTTATAACTAAAATCCCATTAAACAACAAATTTCTTTAATACCTCTAACAGCGCCAAGTATTCTTCTGTGTCAACCTCTTTTTTCTTTCCTTTCCCTGTCGGAGGTTTATCTTTTTTGGGTGATTTCGGCTCCTTCTTGGGTTTCAGTTTGAGAGGAGCGAACAGTCTCTTCGGATTACGTATCTGGTAGGGAGTGTCTATGAGGTAATACTCCGGCCTGAAGGTGAACACTGAACGTACTAGATTGTACTGATAGTCCGTACTGAAACTATAGAAACAAACATTAATGATTTACAACGTAAAAGAAGCGGTTGGAATGTGGTAAGTTTTAGGTAATCTGGACTATGGATTTTGAATTTTGATATTTGTTTAACTTCATATTCGTATATATAAAGATAATTTTAAATACACTCTACTTGTCTTCATAAAGAAACAGGGCTTAATAAGCTTCAAACGCTTTCCAAGAGTTTCAATGAATGACGTAAGAAAAGCGATGATTTTATTATTTTACATTATATTCAAAATTTCGATCGCTTGTGTGCAAGCTTGAATAAGAAGAGATTAAGTTGTCGAACATACAGTTATAATAAACGCACACTAGTAGAAACCGAAAATTAAAGTTTAATTTAAAATTAAACGCTGAAATTTTAATATACTTTGTATAAATTCATATTTATTACTATACTAACAGATCATATATATAATGTATTATATGTGTCAGATCCCTCAATGAGCACTCGTACGCCGCTCCCTCGAATGTCACCAAGTGCTTTGAGTCCGGGTCTGTACGGCTCACTGATTTTTTCTCCAAATCTTCTTCGGGCGATTTATAAACAACTCCGGCCATCTGTGGTGTCGGCAGATAATCTTCTTCTGCTATAAACCGCGCCGCTGTCAGTATGTTATCCTGAAATTAGTCATGTTGAGGCATTAACCAACCCGTTAAGCAAGCGTGGTGATTAATACTCAAACCTTCTCCATGTGAGAAGAGGCTCAGCCGTGGGCTCTGATAGGCTGATAACGAGGCATTAAGACTGTAAGTGAAATGGGCTGTTTGAATTAGTTTTTAACCTGGAATCTCCTGAGCATACGACGCCGGTCAGCGGCATCGAAATGCTGCATTTCTTTCATCCACTCACAAAACCATAGAATTAAAACGGCTTGGGATGCTGGAACACATAAATACCATAAAAATAAGAATAGTCCACAAGAAATAATGAATTTGTGAATACCTATCATTATTATTGTCATGGGACTCAACAAAAGTCATACATTAAGTTTTAGGACTATTTGTATGTGTGACTTCGTTCATTACAACAAGAGTTCTCTATTAAATTATCGATTGATATAGGGAATTAACTATTAAGTGATGCAAGATCAAGTGCTGCTGATAAAACAGCCGTAAAATTATCATCAGCGCAGTTTCTTAAATATCACCTCAAATTTGTACTAAAAATAAATATTACTTTCCTATAATGTTAATTAACCTCTATTCATTTCATCGTCTTGCGCTCGTCTTAACAAATTGGCCAATGTGTCCAGAAACCAGTATTCAGCTAAACTCTTCTTATATCGACTACATCCAGTGATGGTTGCCAAAATATCGATATATTTCTGCTGAGCTGTTGTGGCTATTTTTGGTATTGCTGCGGGGTCAATGTCCGCTTTAAATTCTTCTGGAAGCACGTGGATACTATTGTGTTCCTGAATTCTTCTAATCTTATCAGGTAAGAGTTTTCTTAATGAGGGAGTCGGGAATATCTCAGGTTCTTCCTCAATAATCTCTTCTATTTCATATTCTTGAGTTTCCTCTTTAATCGTCTCTTCTTTTAATTCTTCTTCCACTATTTCTGGTGCTTCTAATATGAAACAATAAAAATATATAGTTACACATACTTCGGGATATAAGGAATATATTTTTGTCGAACAGTCTATCAAAACTATGAAACTACCTTACTACCTAATGAGTTCAAGATTTCATTTAAATGAAACTACTATTTTCGGATTACAACGCGATTTTTTATTTTTGACTATAAACTACATACTCCCGACGTTTCGGCTACTTTAAAGCAACTATGATCACGGGCAGACGAGATGTATGTAAAAAATAATAAAAAAAAATATTAGTTTAATTTACCTTACTACCTTACTAGTGTGATTAAAAAGTAATTTGTAAGATTAATTGTAAATGCTATTGATGTATAAATCATCGATGTCCATATATAAATACAATTAATTTAATTACCAATCAACATTCAAGAAATACCAGTCAATATAATACTATGTAGGCACTTCGAAGGCAGCCCTAGTAGGTTTTTTCAAATTTGTTAGAGAGAGGAGCTTGGACAGTGGAGGTGAGCGTTTAACGTTAAATAGGGTCCCTTAAACCTACACCTGGGTCACAAGTCACAGTCACTGTTGAAGCTCCTCTCGCTACAACGATGGACCCGACACACGCACCGTGAATACATTGAATGATGAGAGGTTTCGTCTCTAGGTATATAATAATATTACCTCTTTGTTCATCTTCTCCCGTGCTCGAGGTGGAGGTTGGCGACTCCTGACCTGAAATCACACACTCCAACCCTGACTCCAACAATAATTTGGACAGAAGATACTTATGAGTATCTTCAATTTCACGCGAAGCCATTATGAGAAAAATTAAAAATTAAAATTTCTTAAGTCTAATATTATATTATTAATTTTATCTATGAACTATATGTAATGACAACTTGACAGGATACATATCGAAAATATTTTATTTTTATTTTTATACAACCATGAAGTCGAACATAATTTTTATTTTATCTGTGTATGTAATTAGAAAAATAAAAAATATACAAACAAATTAATCAATTATAGTACCTTAGTATAAAGACGGTAAAATAATAAAAAATAAGCAAAATATCATGAAAACGCCATTTTCATATGTAAATCGTAATAATTATGGGATTGATGTAAATTTTAAGATCACAGAAAATCGGGAATTCATTAATTTACTTTGACAATTAGTTGTATAATTGAGACGCCGAAATAAGGGCGAGGGGCGCACACCCCAAAACACTGGCTCATATATAGAGTTATATTATACATGACAGGCGCTAAGGGTTGAGAAACTATCCAACCGACTGAGAAATAAAAGGTTAATGTGTTTAACATATGTTACAAACACATATAAACTACGACATACCTCCTAAACTAATTATATTAAAGAAAAGAATAAATAGTTTTTATTATTCCGAAATATATTAAAAATTAAACAAGCATAATCTTATAAGTAAGTTTTTAGTAACCAAAAAAGTCAATATAACTGTAATAGTTATTAAATTATAATAAAAAAGTAATAAATATATATTTCATGAATATAGTGAAAATCCTAGACAAAATTTTTTAATCACCACAAAAGCAAAAGTAATTAATATCCCCATACACGCCGTTGGCAAAAACTATTCAATTGAGTCGAATATTGTAGGTCTACCCTCACACTACCGAATATAATGATTCTACCCTCCACTCTAGTTTGGGCTAGATCCATAGTCGCCTAAAACACCAAGTGTCCACGGGACTCGCACGGGAAACATTAAAATATACAAAAATATTAAAAATTAAATCGTCATTCCTTCAATACTAATGAAAGTAATCTGAAATACGTCATTAATATTTCGAAAAAGTAAAATTACGTTTTTGAAAACCAAAATGACATTCAAATTTTATTTAATGTTATCTTCTTGTTAATATATTATGTTTTATTCAAAAATATTAATAAGGCTCACAATTATTATTGTTATTTGATTGTGTAGAAGTCCTTTATTTAAAAAATCAGAACACTTTATTAAACTTAAAATATTTAAAAGCTATATGTTTAAGACTAAAGTAGTTACAAAGTTTTTATAGTAGTATGCAAATGAACGAACAAAAAAACTACCTATATAAATGTATCACAATATTTAGTGTATCATATTTAACATAAATCATAAATAACTGAAAACACACAACAATGTGAACACACCCTTATTCACAACCCCTAAACGCTAGAGGGTTACTTTTCTCACAGAATGCTAGTATTTAGTTTTGCGATCCACTGTTTTAATTTAGACTAGAGAAGCTACCAGCTATTCTTATGTTTTTTCACGTTTTTTTAGATCATTTTAGAGCACCTTTTGTTACTTTAATTATGGTCTCTTTGGTCGTATCTTTAAATTAGAATGTCTTGTGTGAGAGTCTTATTAAAAAAACACTGCAAAAACTCCAATGATATATAATATTTTAGTTATAAAACGTCAGCTTACTTTTAACAGCGCGTCACATCGAGTCAGTTAATTCACACTGCCTCATACGTTATAAGCGTACTCGTACTAAAGTTTTAAGAAATTTCGTATAAAGTAAGCGAGAGATTTCCATCAAAAAATCCGAACCCCATATACTTAATCTAAAAGGTTCTAACCACTAGACCAAAAGTAAAATAGTCCTAGACATGACGAAATATCGTTTATCGCACGCATAACGCGTCTGTGTGAGTGTGGGCGTGTGTGTGTGTGTACGTGTGTGCGTGTGTGCGCTCTCACACACACAGGGGCCGAGTGCGTGCGTGGCAAAAATTCTCCACGACTTGGTTAAATATTGGACGCATTGAAAGATATGGAGCTGTTAGTGTTTTTTAAGAATTTGCATTTAAAAATTTACATTAAATCTTTCATATATTGCTCATTATGTTTACAGTAAAGAATATGGCCGTTACTGGTGTATTAAATTTATTTTTAAGTACTGTACTTTATGTATAAAATTTAATATGAAATCTATGATGTTTTGGTAATGTAACTACATATAAGTTCTATTTATTATATTATTTATTTTATTTATTTATTTATTACAATTATGTTGGTATTTTTTACACATATGTCTAAGTTTTCACAGTGTCTAATAAACCAATATTGGTTTTTCCGTACACTAAAATGATGAACATTTAATAATTATTATATTAACACTGGTCTATCTTTCCTTTATCTCATCATCATGAACCCTCGTTCCTCTCTTGGTAAAGATGGTTCCTTGTATCTCTTCATCCATCAGTCTGGTTATTTCAGCAGAAGTTAAATCATCTGTGTCACTTCTATTCATAAAGATTATCATGTCTCATGGTTTAAGGAGTGGTGAATTGTATTTTTAGGTACAATTTACTTTATTTAGTATTATTGTATATTAGTTTTAATTAATAAATAATTGTATCAGTAAATATGACTATTTTCATTGGTAAATACATTCATGTGGCTAGTATCTTAATAAAATCACAGTTCTTCCGACAATCTCTTAAACCTACCCTCATAAAACTCTATTCCTCTATAAATCCATTTTGTTCTAGATATACCTATTTATTAATTACTACAAAGTATAAGCCACTACATCTGTTATATCTCAATAAAAGTAATTTATCATGAATGGTGATGAATAAGGAGTGTAAATAATAAATGACTTGAAAAACTTCACTAATTTTATAAGGTGTTTCACATATTAGTGGATTTTCATTACATTAGAATTAAAATCATTAAAATTTCAAAGTGTAATAGGATATTATTGTTTAAGTCCTGTTTCATGGCATCTTTTTCTAATCTTTAATATTCTTAACGAATATAAATATAATTACTATTTCTCTTAAATATGTATTATAAGTAATGACGACTGAAACTTAAAAATGACGTCACTACCACAATATTAACACTCGACAAAGATTCTGACTCATCCATACAAATATGAATATTTTTTAAAAATTTTAACGTTTTAAAAAATTAACACAATATTAACAAAGTGCAAATAAAACAATAATATTAATGTAATTCATATATGAAATATGATATGAATTTTTAAGTTTTGTCATAACGGAAGTCTCTACGCCATCGTTGTTCAAACTTCACCAACTGTCGAGGTGAATGAACTCACGAAATACACGCACACTACGAAGACGTCAAAACAGTAGTTACAAATAAATGTTTATATCCTAAAATGACACACACACACACACACACACACACATCACATTATGTAGATGAAGGTGAATGAACGCTTTTTTGATTATTTTTTGGGGTGACGTTTGGAGAGTCACTCATTTGACATCCGGTGTAAATTCAGGTGTATACAGATGCTGATTTGGTGATGTCAAAAAAGCAATTAAATTATTAGTACGAAGTCATTATATACCTACTTTATTAATAAAAATTAAAATTATATAGTAAATAAGTGTTTTGTATTAATATTTATTTCAATTCAATCAAATATATTTTACCTCCTCGTTTTATTTCAGTTTCTTTCATTCGTATTTGAAACACTGTGTAATTTAACGTAAAAGGGAATTCTTTTCAAATGTACCTCCAATACATTAATATTTAGGGTTGCCGTACAAAAAATACATGAAAACATAACATGCAATTATATTAATTAAATTTTTAATGTTAATTTAATAGTAATTTATATATTAATGTTTATATATCGGATCTTACTTAAAAATCAAGAGGCACGCATCCTGTTATTGTAATTTTTCTATGTATCGTAAGTTGATTGACCGTATGAGGCAATTCATCAAAGTAATATTGTGGTCTGGAGTGGGGATGGACTCGTACTAGGGGTTGATGGAGAGAATCTAGCGGGAAGCGCTGCATAGATTATTACTACTAGACGAACAGACGCTTAAAACGACGTATAATAAATACCACAAAAGAAAAACGTTCTTAGATCAAACGAAATCAATTTTAATTAAAATAATGTATATTTTATAAATTTCGGTTCAGGAAATATTTTTTATTAATTTTTTTATCTCTATTGTATGAAATAACAGGAAGGTAACAATTAATACGGTTGTTTTTTATTTCGTTGTTTAACATTGAAAAAATGACATAACGACCATATACCTATAAATGTAATGTCCATATAAGTAAACGACCATATTTGAATCATATAAAAATAAAAAATGAACAAGGGTAAAAATATATATTTTAAGCGCTTAATAGAGCTGTATATTATCTATGAAGCGCTTTCCGCTGTTTTGACCAAACCATCCCCTATCTATAGCTAGGGTGGCGATTGGTTGGCAGTGCCTTTGTGGCAAGAACAAACTACATTTTTACGTTAATCCACGAGATACTGGTTCAATGGCCGATGAATAGAAGCAGGTGGAAGTAATTAGCAGATGTAGTGAAAAAATAAATAATAATAAATAGAGTATTAACATTCCGTACGGTCGACCGTCTACTATGAACGATGACCATCCCTAATATTAAAGAATTCATTATAAAATCTCCTGTAGAGGTGTTTGACCGCGTTCAACAAAACGACAACTATATCCCGTCACCTGCGCCACAAAAACGCGACGCGGCCGAGCCGGTTTAGTGCTGATTTAATGACATTCATTTTATACTATCTTTAGTTTTTATAACAGTACAAAATACGAATAATTCGAACACACAAATAAATAGGCACGCCCATTTAATATAAACACGAGATCGATACACGAAAAACACCTAACGACGAACGAGCGTCACTAGCCGACACATAAAGAACCCAAACTAAAGCGGCCAATACAGAAAAAGCTACCGAAAAAATAAATAAATAAACGAATTTGAATTTAGAATCCCAAAAGCCGAACACGTAACACGCACACAC